ACAACTTTGTCCGTCATCAGGCCTACTATGCTAACGGAGAGGGGCTTTGTGTATTTTTGTTACCCTGGCCCGGAGGTTTTCTCCTCCAGGCTTCGACGCTAGGTTTGGTTGCTTGATGTCAATATTCCTGGGAGATAGTGCGATGTATAGGCCTGTTCTAAAAATAGTCAGGAGGTGGTTGGTTTGTGTGCTTTTTTTCTTCTATTTATTGTGTGTGTATGTATATATGTATCATTAACTTTTAAGTTTTTTTTTTCTAAGTCATTTTTCTGATCAGTCATTGCAAAGGTATGCTGGAGCTTCGAAACTCCATGTCTTCAACAAGCAAAGACATCCCCTGGGGAGCACACTGTATGCATGGCTAACATCAGAGTGAAAATAATTTTTTGTTTAAGTTTTTTGGCGGGAAAATGTAATTAGATTAATTAAGTGCTTCTAGCAGCTGCATCAAGGTAGAAAAAGTGTGTGACTAAGTGTTTGCAAAAGTTGAGAGGAAAGGTCCAAAACGTTGCAAGAGGTGCACAAGACAGGGTGACGTACTGTGCAATTAAAAGCAGGGTTCAAGGATGAAAGGCAAGGCAAGGCAAGGCAAGGAAAAGATGTTGCGTGTAAAGGTCCAATGTATTGGAAAACGAGTCTAGAAAAGTGTGATGTACCGACAAAGAGTTACGTGATGGGGTCTAAAACAGAAATGCCCAGGGAAGGCATGCAAAGAGTTTTAAGGGAGTGGGTGAAAGAGTAAACCAAAGGGATAAAAGACGAGTCCAGGAAGGTATGATGAACTGTGCATTTATAAGAACGTTTGACAGAAGAAATAAAAATGTGATGAGAGTAGAGGGTCTGCAGGGGGAATCCGGGCAAAATTAAATTTAGGAGGGCCGACAAGGCTTAACAGAAAATTCAGGCTGGCTTAACTCTTCATATAGTAAATTAAGGCTTCGGGTGCGACTTCTTTGGAATGTTCTTTAATTTTATATTCACTGGATGTCTGCCAATCTGGTGTTGACGATACAAAGAATTTTTCAATTAATCTTAAGATCAATTCAGGCTAACAAATAACATCCTAATTGCAATTAAGGTGACGAATTACACTTTGAGAAGAATTTTCAGACAATTGGTTAACATTGAACAAAAGTGGCCAGCTACGATTAATGATGGGGTAAAATGGCTCGCAGAAAAGAGTATGCAGACCCCGAGACAGTAGAGTGAATAAAGTGGGCATTAAAGAGAGAAAAGAAAGTGTGACTGTGAGTGCATGTACTGAAAGCATGTGAAGTGTTGTCTTTGTTAACAAAGAAACCATACTCACACCTCCCCATCTTCTTTCACACAGCTCTGCCAATAAACATCCAGTTCTTCCTCCCATCAAGTTACAACCTTGTCTCCAGGTTCACATCTTGAAGACAGAGGAACAAAAATCAGTATATTGATGGCAGCAACTAGCCTTGCTAGAATGTGTCACGCAAGGTTTGATTTTAGAAATTGTTTGATATTGAAAGGATAATTGTTGTGATGCAAAAAATCTCCAGGCAACACTGAATGAGCTAGGTAACGATAAGATCACATATTAAATGAACTATCGCTTTACTTCAATAGATATAGAAAGTTTTACACTATAGAAAGTTGTTTCTATACATCACTACTGGTTACAGGAAACATGTTCATCCTCAGAATTCTTCACATTATCCAAGAAAGGATCCAAGTTGTGAATCATCGTCTCACCTGTACAGATTCTTCACGTCACTCTGTCTCTTGAAGTCAACTGGTTTGCTGAACTTGTCTGCTCTGGTTTAGACAGGAGTCATCACAGGTTTCTCCTATGGCCAGTCAGGACAGCTGACCCTCAGGACACACCTTTTAAACAATATGAAAGGATAATTAGTGTGATGCAAAAACACTGAATTCACTGTTAAAGGATTTTTTCTGTGCAAGAGTTAAGTGAAGACAGTTGCAGAGTGTTAGAACCATATGAATTTTGTTTAAGTGTCATCTCACCTGTGGATACTGTCATCTCACTCTTGGGTCTTCAAATCACGTGCACCTGGTCTGCTCTCTTCTCTTGTCAGGTTTAGACAGGAGTCACCATCAGTCAGCAGCCACCTAAATATACAACATTATATGTTACATATTTGTTTAAAACACACCAGGAAAATGGTAAGTAAATTGCAGAATTTAGATTTTTTTTCTCACCTAATATTCCTCTGGAGTCTTCAAATCATCAGGTCCAGTCCAATCTTCTGTTGCCAGGTTCAGACAGGAGTCTTCACTTCTGCATCAGTCAGCAGCCACCTAACTATACAGACATTAGAAGTTACACACTTGTCTCAAATAATACCAAGTAAAAAAATCTGTAAATGGTAGGTAAAATACAGAAATCAGATATCAAATATTCTCACCTAATATTCCTCTGGGGTCTTCAAAACAGGTCTGGTCTGGTCCAGTCTTCTCTTGTACGGTTCAGACAGGAGTCAGCATCAGTCAGCAGCCACCTAACTATACAACATTATATGTTAAATATTTGTTTTAAAAACCACACCAGGTAAATGGTAAGTAAATTGCAGAATCTAGATTTTTCTCACCTAATATTCTTCTGGGGTCTTCAAATCACCAGGCCTGGTCTGGTCCAATCTTCTCTTGTCAGGTTCAGACAGGAGTCAGCATCAGTCAGCAGCCACCTAACTATACAACGTTATTTATGTTACACACTTGTCTTAATTAACAACAAATAACTTAACTAGCAGTAAGAAAAGTTACCTTAAGATTAGCCTTTGTGGACTAGATTGCAACTAAATTATGGAAAAATTACTGCAAAAGAATCTGCCGCCAAGACCGCCTTTCAAAGCAAGTTGGAATCTACTACATGTAACTGTAGTCCTAAATTTGAACTTTATCTATATTTCCTTTTAAAAAGAACAAGTGCGAAAAAAAGGAATACAAGACCACAATTACGGACCTTAGTGCTAATTAGTTTAGCAGTAATTGTTTATATGTATTTGTTGTATACTGTGTATTTGTTGTATTAGTATTTTTATGTGTATCCAGGATTACCTGAAAAGCAGGCCAAAATGGCCTGAGTTGTAATTACTGGTAAAACAAACTAAAACTTTCAAACTGAGTACTAGTAATAAGCATCTACAGTGCAGAAACAAGGCGGGAACAATCATACCCACGTGTGACTCAGTTAAACAGGTGGTCCCCTCGCCTCGAGGCAGTTAAATTTTCTGCGTTTATCTCCTCAAAAATATTGTACAAATACACGGAAGCTGTTTGTTTTTATTACCAAGAGGGCTTTGCCCAGTACAATAGGATAGGATAGGACGACTTTGAAATAAACTTGATAAATGAGGTAAAACTTTAGAAGAAGAAAACATCAATATTTAAACGCTCAAACATCGAAAATAACGCAAAATGTTCATAAAACTACCATTTTTGGGGGGGATACAACTTGTCATGCATTTCATGTTCACTTTTTTCCAGTAAATATGTTGGAATTTTACCTCTCTCTCTCTCTCTCCTTCGAAGTTCTTCCCCTCACCACCAGAAATGTAGTCCTCACAACAGTGGCCATTTTGTTGTCTTCTTCACCACAAGCACACGTCCAGTCAGAAATACAACTTCTCTCCTTCAAACAGACAAAATTCCGGCTCAAATCCACGGGGAACTTCCGAATACTCCATATATTATCCAAAAACGCAGAAAGGAAAATATTAGGGGAACCAGAAACTGAGATTTTGTCCAAAAATTCGGGGGTAGGTGACTCGGAACATTCTCTCAGCGCCACATGTGCGAAATGAACGGACTGTACCAAGTGCGACGTTATTGCAGGGGTACCAGACAACTGTCTAAAAAGTTTCTGCCTTTATGATCTGAAAGTAAAATCAGTAAATTTTCTTCAAACAAAAACAGTAAAATATGTGAGTGAAAACGATGAATCACATCTTTTTTCAATGATTACCAAGTTCTCGAGTTTCTGATTTTAATCGCGTAAATTTGGGTCTAACCGAAACACCGCAACCAAGGCGGAAGGACACCCGGAAGTAAGCCTCGGGTCCGAAAGTTTCACCCAAAACGCATCCATTCTTTCACTTTTCAGCCAAATTAGTTTTTAATGCCATTTTGTAGCAGATCATGAGAAATTTGAACTCAAATCTGAACCATCGAAAGCTTCGTCACTTTTTGTACCGCGCACTTTTTTCCTGTCGCGGAAGAATTGGTGTGCACCGGTCCTGGAATTGGGTCTGTCCTTGGTGCTGAAAACACCATCAGACGCAAGTTTTACAACTTATTCTTTGTTCTTTGAAATATGGCTTCCAGAGTAATACTCTTACGTATGTCGGATGAACGTACATTGTTTTCGTGTTTCTGTGTATGTGATCTGATGTGACGAAACATTTTATTGGTCCATAATAAGATTATCAATATGTAAACGTTCACCTCTGATGCGTTCTGTGGGTGCTGTCGCTATGCCTCGCGCGACGGGCTATTGTGAAAATCTCAGTGTTAGTATTTTCTTTATACTTTTCTTGATTATACAAGAAGGTTTTCTCTTTCCAATAAGATCGGTCGTTTTGTGGCTTATTTATAGGTGCTTTCCCTATCTCACGGCAGTATAATTCAGTCACAAATCATTGTGTGACACATTGTTCTAGGGACTAACATAGTAATGTTAGTTATAATATCATATTTTGCCTGAACCTAAGAGTTTCCTAGGGAAGGCATTTGTTGATTTGCATCACTGCATGAAGGAAAAGACCAAGACACAGACAAATAAATTGAGATGAAGAAATAAATAGTAGAACAAAGTGACATGTACAGTGTGTGCTCTTTGATAAGCTAATGTGTATGATTAGGCAAAATCCTGTATACTATCATAGTATGTTTGCTTATACATTAGACATGGTGGCATTTGTAGAAGCTATTGAACCAAAGGTACAGTAGTGTCATGCATTTTAGTCTTGTGGGCTCAAAAAAATGGTCAAAATAACATTGAGACACACAAAATTCTAAGAAACCTAGTATGTATGCTTCCAGAGCTTGTCTATGTCTTGCTCTTTCTGTAATGATTCATTGATACAGGTTTATTGCTCAACAATTGTATATGATCATAAGTTATTACAGATATTGCAACTTCCACTACTTATTAACTCTATGAAACCTAATCTGCTCTAATTATGTAAGTATTGGATGCAACTTTACACTCTACATGTTTGAAACATTGTTTGAAACTCTAGTTATAACAAATATAAATATAAACAAATATATTAATATTAACAATAAATTGACTTCAACTTTTTGAATGTCAAAGCTCTGTCTCAAAGCTCCTCTGAGAGTCTGGATGTGTCAGTAGTACGTCATGTGAGTCTGCCTCTTTACGGTCCTCAGGATCATCCTTAAGTCCGACCGCTGGACACAATAATGAACCCACCCTGAAACATGAACAATAAAGCATCAATGTTATAAAAAATGGACAGGGAAAAACTTTGTGGAAACCCTAACCCTAATGCACAGCCGTGAGGGATGGAGGCAGATGGTCAGACACTCCACCATGCAGTGCCCCCACGACCCTGGCCTGGGTTAAGGGACCAAGGTACAAGGTACAAGGTACAATGTAAGGTTATCAAAAGAGAGGTGACAGTGTGACACAATATTAATGGGTTTCTGGAGAACTTAAAGCATGGATCCAATGTGCTCATTAGCTAAAAACATGAGAAAATAGTGGTGTTTGGCCATTTGAAATTCCAATCCAACTTGCATTCCCTACACTCCAACCTAACCAAATTGGAAAAAGAAACATTTTCACCTAGCTTGTTTCATCATATCTTAATGTCTAGAGCATCTGAATGAATGGTTTATTCGGAGTATATACATGTAAAACAGACAGTATACATCACTTAGACCATTAAAGTTGCCTGAATTGTGCCATCGTTGACATTAGATTACTTTCTGTTTAAAATGTTCTGACGAAAAACATTGCTCGTTATACATTATAATATTTTCTTTACAATTGATAATGTATTACTATGTACAAATAGATTCTGCATCATAATCTAAAAAAAACATTGCATATCATGATGTTTTCTACTTTTAATTATTACATTTGTTACTGGGGGTATTGACATAATATACATTTGTACACTGTGGTAACCTACTTTCCATAGTTCTCTGCTTCCTCCAATGTCTGTGGCAGGGGGGTCCCTAGTGTCTCTGGCAGCATCAGACACAGAACCCCCCCTATCACAGACAGCCCCCCGAACACAATGTAGGGGAGGGGCTTCCAGGTGTCTATCAGCAAGGCTATGAAGGGGGAAACGATGCCACCCAATCGTGCACACATAGATGAAACCCCCATGCCCAAGTTCCTGTTAAATAGTGTAAACAACAGAAAGGCATAATTTTAGAAACATTGAGAAACTTTGTCATGATATTATAGAGGTACAAGTCATGTATACACATGTATATTCAATGCTACTCACACAGCTTACTTTTTCTTTATTTTCAATGCTGCATTAATTTGGGGACAAAATACCTGACATTATCAGGTTGGTGTGGTATCAAGTCTGTATTAGACCTGTCAGAATTTTGAAAGCAATTAAGTACATAAAGGGAGATATAACAAAATTTAGCTTAGGGTGTAACATTTACCAGAGAATGCAATAAGATATCTTGATATTAAAAAAAAACACTTGCACTATTAGGGTTCACTGAAGTATAAATAGGACAGCAATATGTATTGTACAAGACATGCACCAAACTAAACATACCTTATTACTGTGGGGTAAATTTCTCCTGTCCAGATGAAGATAATATTGAAGCCAGCAGAGATTCCAAACTTCCCGATCATTGCCAGTGTCATGGTCAAGGGGAACAGATCTGTGTACAAAAAAGATGATAGACTACCCAATAGCCAATACATGAATAGAATAAAATTTTGTTACAGCTAAAATACTTCCGAGTTTTGACATGTGACTCCAGTAACAAAGATCGAAACCTGCACCAACCAATATTGGGCAATGTTTTGTTTTTCTTGCTTATTTTAGAGCCTGCATTTGTTAATTAAATACTCAAATGGGCCTGCTTGCGAATTCTTATTGAGAGGGGGCCGGTGTCAGACAAAATTATCACTTTATAGGAATTGCTAGAGGAGTCTGGTATATAAACTCACGGCAAGTTTGACCTGTCATAGGAAACCATAATGATGTACCTGAGGGAACAAAAGTGGTACAAATGCAGGCCAGACCCCCGACCACCATGAACATGACATGAGGCGCCCGGCGTCCCCACTTCTCTATCACCACGATGGACATGAGGAGGGCAGGAAACTCCACCAGCCCGTAGAAGAAGAAACTGATGTAGTCATCTCCGCCCAGTGCCGAGGTGTTGAGGGACAGTCCATAATATACCATGTTGAGGACAGCCCTGTGCAGTGGGGAGGGAGAAAGAAGTCTTAGAATGTTTGCAAACATAATGTCAGACAATTATTATTGGTCGTCACAGCAGACTCACAGGATACTTCAATACTTGTTGTTTCCCTCTACATACATGTAGCCTAAAAATATGAACCAAGCAAGAAGAACCAACTGTATAGACATCTTAGGAGGAAATGTAAGTTACTGAACAAACCTAGAAAAGTAGAAAATTGTATAATCATAAAATAGAAAAGTAAAAGTCTCTGGACTGCAAGTTCTTACCAGTTGTAGAAGAGGACGGCAGATTTCTTAGCCAAGTTTGGAGTCCGTAATAGGTCCCGGGCAGAGTAGAACCTGCCATTTCCAGGTGTCTCCACCAGTTTATCCTGAGGTTTATTATATTGATATGGATAATATCAAATAGTGGTATACATGTATGATCAACTGAAACATTGGCTGAATAAAAGACTTGGTATTGGAAAACAGAGTCTCTTTATTCTGTGACAACCTGATGAAAGTTCAAGGTGCAGAGAGTATAATCATGACATTAATAATATTTTCTGTATATTGTTGATTTACCATTTGATGATGATGAGACTTGTAACAATCATGTACATGTATTTGACAATCTTTGCATGTACCTTTGATTCCAACATCTTCTCCCATAATGAGTGGGGAAAGTCCACGCCATTCGTTACCGCCATCTTCTCCACAATGGCACGTGCTTCTCCAGTCCGACCCTTCGCCAGCAGCCATCTTGGAGACTCTGTTACAGCCCTACAAAAAACAGTGGTCTCGGAACATTAGGATTTGACTTGTTAACAGTTAAAACTTTTGTTCCAATACAAGAGAATTGTTCTCACCTAGAGCTTTTGACCAGTCACTCTAGTCTTCTAGATCTTCACTAGACTGACCCGGTGAGACTTGTCATGTGCCTTCTCTGACAATTGATGTCACCCTTCAGAGAAGCCATGTGACAAGTCTGAGACTGGGTCAATCTATTGAAGACCAGAGTTACTGGTTGAAAGCTCTAGTTGAGAACAATTCTCTTGACTCTTGTGTTGGAAAAGTTTTTTAAAAGTCAAAACATGTAACTAACACAGATGAACTTCCATGACACTTTGTCACTTTGTAATTTCTCCACAACGATGACCTTTTAGAAAATAATCCCATACTCAAGATGAAAATTATACATTGTAAGGATGATCATATTTTGAGAATCATGCACCCGCAGATGTCATCCATGTAATCAAATTGGAGAAAGAATATTTTTTAGAATTACTGAGTAAATGGTACTAACCACCACAGTGATATCCACAGAATGCTGAATAGGGACAATGCCAGCTGCAGGTGTCTCCATGTACGGATGAGGTAAGCTATTCCTCCTAACAACATGTACCCCAGAGTGAAGAACACGTAGTCATAGGTGCCGACCAACGTTCGTCTGGATGGGCCAACTATCTCTGCCCCTGCAGGAAAATAAACCCAATACATGTGTACACAAGATGAGTCCAGAATCTATAATAGACTGAGATTTCACACAAAATATGAGCAGCAAAAATAATTACATCAGGTTGGTAGAACATAGGACTGGAGATCTGCTTCTCACTACTATATGTCAGCCATGGTTGGGATTGTGTTGTCGCCCCCAAAGCAACGTACATTGACAACATATAGCAGCTAGAAGCAGAACTGACCAATCAGAAGCTCTGAGGAAGATGTCTGATATATACTGAAACATATTAGAAAGGTAATAGACATTACAGGTTGTGTAAAAGAAAATCCCAATATCCAGAATATGAGCATTTCTTAATTCTGTCACAACTCGTACACAAAATGATCGATTCAAATCATAAACTATTCATGTAAGCTGACCTTGTCATGCAATGGTTAAGAGTTCTTAAAACAATCCCTCAATGCAGATCACTATAATAATAATTGAGCATTTATAATAATTGAGCATTTTCTTTATTTGATTATAATATGCTAAGCCTTACAAAATCATGAAATTTGACATGATGGATAACTTTCATTGCAGTTTTCCTCATCAAAATTGTATCATTTCAAAAGCACTAAATGTAAGTGCCAACTTCCAATTTTGAATTTCCCGCCAGTAGATTAAGTTAGTATAGCTTCCCGCCAACTCCCTGCCCCCCTGAGCACCAGGGTAGGGAGCCCGTCTGTCTGGGACTTAGGTAGACAAGGCGACAGGCAGTGCATAAGGCACAAGCAGAGAGACAGAAGTCTGGTGTGGTTCGTGAGTTAGGACCAAAAAGGCCTGGGCACAGAAGTCCCAGGAAAGACCAGAAGAGGATTACAAAGGCCTGGATACAAGGATCCAGGAAATCCAGAAGAGGATTATCAAAGGCCTGGATAGAGAGGGTCCAGGAGATACCAGAGGATATTCTGTGGAAGGACGATGAGACCATACCAGTTTTATGTCAAGAACTCGTCAAGAACTCGCCAGGAACTTGCCAAGAACTAGCCAAGAATTCACCAGGAACTTGCTAAGAACTTGTCAAGAACTTGTGCTTTGTTCCTCGAATTGGGATCAAGAAATCAAACTGCCCTAGGAATACAATTACCAACAAGAACTCTACCAGCAAATTCAGAAACATCGAACTTATACGGCGGAAGTAGAACAGGGCGGATTTCAGTTTGTATTACTAACTCTACTGAAGATTAAACATTTATGACGTATTCCAATCAGTTTGTACGACTTCTTCCCTGAAGACCAACAGAGGTGAGTTCGGTAACACTTCCTCATACGTCCATCCCATGCAGAATAGCAGCAGCCACAGTAATAAAGTGGTGCTGCGCCTACACTAAATGTCAACCACCAGCATTATACCTGTTGGTAAGAACATTAATAAAGTGCATTGTTACAGTTAAGACTTGGTCACACAATGATGTTACATTTGTTGTAGTGTTGATTGTACCTAACACAAAGTTTGTCAGGTAGATCCCCATACACTGCGCTCCAACCACAAATCGCAGGATGACAAAGACCGTGAAGTTGGGCGCAAACATGGTGGCTATCCCGGTAATGCCCAGAAGGGCGTTGGCAACAAACATAATGACTTTCCTGCCAAACCTGGAAGAAACAGTGCAGAAAAATAATAAGACTTAGTATATGTGTGTTACTATATAATATGTAACATATGTAGAAATACAATTGGACATTCTATCACCTTCCAATCAAAAGTTTCATCACAATCTATTGTTAAAGGGGCATTATGTAACATTTTTGCACCAAAAGTAAATTATGGTATTTAAAAATGTTCTTGTTATTGTACTAATTTCTTGTTATTGTGTAATTTACTTCCACTTTTCAACATATTTCTGCAATTATCTCACATTTCTAAAACAGTCCACATAAGGCACACTAAGTTTATGGTGCCACCACAAAATACTAACAAACAAACATGGCTGACAGCTGTGATTCAACCTTTTAAACACACTTGTAAGCCTAAAGGCTTCATATTTTCACACCTCCACTTCCTGAATGGCACTTGTTTGCAATGGAGTTGGGTTGATTTGTAAAAAAATGACCAGAAAATTTTGCTTTTTGTATCGTCCTAATGTTACATAATATTGCTTTAGGCTTACCTGTCTGACAGGGCCCCAAAAGTGATGGAACCTACCAACACCCCCAGCATAAAAATGGCTTGAGCCATGCTTGCCAGCCACTTGTCTTCACAGACAATGTCATTCTGTGGGTGAAACAAACCTCAGATCACATACCTATACTGTTTTATGACAGACAAAAGTGAAAACAGTGCCATCCAAAAACATTAGCAAAATGAACACTAACGTTATACATGTACGTCAATTCACAAAAACAAAACTTTTACTTAGCTTATTATACTCAATACTTAAGGATTTGCTATGATTTAGGCTATCTTACATGCTTATGACACAAGATATTCTACCCCTTGCTTGCACACAGACTGTTTCCACAGCCTATGCAGGCCAGCTCCTCAGCTCTTTAGGCCCGACATGCCCCCCAGGCAATTTTACCTCTGTGATAGTGACCCCCCCCCCCCCAGTTTTAGACCCTAGTAAAATTTCCTCAGTGGGGGGGGGGGTATGTTGGCCCTAAGAGCCTGTGTAGGCCCTGAAAACAGTCTGGTATTTAGGCCAATTCAAGGAACTTGTCAATGTGTACCTCAATGGTAATGCTGGTTTTGTACTGGCTTAGGTCATACATCCATCCTGCATCGCATGATGTCACATTCCAGTCAGATCGGTTCCCGTAGCTGTCATTCAGTCCAACCGTCGTCAGGTCATACCTAATGAGGAATTTTTAAGGGTTCATATTAAATGATAAACAGACTCTGGCAACAAACAAATATTGGCCTGATGCTGGACCCCAAAGCATGTTACATTGTATCATTGTAGATTACTCTTTAGTCTGATGGAATAGTTACTACTATGGCTGTTATACTATAGGTGGGGGGCATGAAATATTCCCTAGTAATATGCTATAAATTGCTCTTTTATTTTTGGCAGTAGTAGTAGGCCATTAGTGTAAGAAGTAATACTAGGCTTCCACACTAATGTCACTTTCTACACTTCATGAATACGAAATAAAACATTTGTTGGCTATGAGTATAATACTATGTTCTGTTGCTTCAATTCTTCTAAAAATGTTTGATGCTTACAATATGTCCTAAAGACAGACCGTTTAGATTGAGGTATTGTTCTAAATAAATAAAAAGACAGAACTTCGTAAAGAAAGACGGAACTTCAAACTAAGCGCTGTCCTAGAAACAGAACTTCAGAGGAGTCCTCCGTAAAACACTGAACCCCAGCACATAACATCTGCTTGATCTTGTAAAGCAGCAAACAAAAACAGCCACAGATGGGACTCGAGCCTGTTATGGATGATGTCTAAAAAATACCCGACATCAATCACGAACCTCTTGCAGCTGTCTCGGACCCATCTTCCCTCGTCGTCCTGCTTCCACGGGATGGTCCTGTTCAGCAGCTCGGGCTCGGTCCAGTTGTACCGGGCCGCCAGGGCCTCGGCCTCGGGCGCCCTGCAGCGGTGCTCCGGCGTGGCCGCCAGGAAAGCCATCGCCAACATGTGCATGCTGACCGACAGACTCGGCAGGAAAGCGAAGAAACACATCCTTTTCTGATACGTCCCGAACTCACCGACATGTTTGAGGATCTCGTCGTAGTGCACCATGATGGGAACTTTGAACAGGCTCAGCTGCAGTACAATTGGTTATCCATAAACTCAGAAAAAATCAATCAATCTTAAGTTCTCGTTTGTCCGGGTCCAGGTTCAGCGAGTTCATTGAAAAGGGGGCAGGTTTTGTACACGGGTTGCCGAGTTTTGAATCGATCTTTGACCGTGACCTTATAAAGCAAGACCAGCCCTTACAAAGAAAGCAGTTAAGTTGTACAGGCGTGGGTAAAAGAAAGGTTTTCAGTCTCAAGACTTGCACTGAGTAAATCGTCTGGTCCCCCTGTTTCTTAACGATGAACTGGTCCGCGTGTCCTTGGGTTGTTGTCCCTCTTGCTAATGTCTCAAGTTACCACAGTTACCAAACCATTTCATTGGGCCATGTTGATTTGATTATATGGATGACATCCACGCGCGCATGAATTTTTATCAGTTTCCAAACCAAAAAAAAAGTTTCGACCATATTGAAAATCGTACAAGGCAGCATCAAAATGAACAAATGTATGCCGTAAATTGCAAATAGAAATGTTGGAAAACGCTAATGTCGTGGCAAATGTCGTAGAATGATCAAATAAATTCCAAAGGAAACGAAGAAAATGTGAAGAAATGAAAATGAACTTTTTTTCGCCACATCATACTATGTGTGTTTAGGCATTTTTCACCCTTTATCACCACGTAGATTTCATGATGAAGGCAACTTTGTTTTGGCCAAACTTGTTTGTTCATTTTCTATTTGAACGCTCGCATCAGTTTTGGGATACCCAAGGATGTCATCCATATAATCAAATCAGCATGGCCTTAGCAGCTGTTTGTCCCCATTAAGGGCGGTTCAAATCTGCCCAGTGACTAGTCCCGGTATGCTTTACGATGGGTCATGACAGGTCTTTTACATTGATTTTCATAATCTACATACTAGACATGTAGACTAAGGGACATCCGAATGGCTTTGAAGTATAATGTTTTAAACCAACTTGCTCACAGAATAAATTTTACTTTACAGTACTTACTTGCTTGAGCGTCTCATGAATAAATAGGGGTTTTCAAAGAGATCATGTACAGCACAGAATAAATAAATAGAAATATCAGTATATGAATTTAAACGTTCCAAAATACAATTGAGTGAAATAACAACTGAAGTATAACAAGTACTTTGAGAATTCGCGACAATGTCTACCCGCTCACTGATAATCATGGCATATTTCCGTTCTAATATCGTATTACTCAACGCACATTTAGGTCGCGCCGACTATGCATGCTATGCGACACTTGAGTTGTAGCCGCTAGCCCTTCCTTACATATACCACGCGTTAACAAATGCATATGACATATCCATTAGTCAATATTCAGGCAGATGTTTTACTATATATAGCTATCTGGCACTCTAAAATGGTTACGATCTTCCTTTCCAATGTCTGATATCAGGCTATCTCCAGATTTGAGACCTGAATCGTAGTGTAGCTTGACTACGGTCGGCTTCCTCTCGCTCCTTATCAAATATCACATGTATTAGCATTGCCACGGGAACAGATCTTTTGATCTTGAAGCTTTGCTCTATAGTGTATTGGGAACGTGAATTTGAAGATGATACCCAAATGCACGAGGGGCGGGGGCGGCTCGTGTTCGGCAAGGTCGGCTACCATGTTTAAAACATTTGGGGCTGGTCGGGAGTTTCGGCCATTGTAGGCTCGTGTTCAGCTGTTCGAAATTTCCTGAAGGAAACACTAGTACTGGGGGGATAACTATCGGCGCAGTAGTACCATTTACCACAGATGGCATTGTGTGTGATTGGTGTGTGTGTGTCCGCGCGCGCGTGTGTGCACGCGTGAATGTGTGTATGTATAAACACATGTAAGTGTGTGTGCGTGCGTGTATGTGTGTGTCCATGTGAGTGTGTGTGTCAGTGTGTGTGTGTGTGTGTGTGTGTGTGTGTGTGTGTGTGTGTGTGTGTGTGTGTGTGTGTGTGTGTGTGTGTGTGACTGTGTGGGGGGCTGTATTGAATTGTACTGAACTTTGACCATAGTAACCTAATTTTCTGTATTTGTTTTTAAAACCATTTACCTCTGTTTTAACACGTGACAGATACGTCCTATTTTCATGAACATAGTACAATTAAACTTATAATTCCACCTCAAGCACACAAATAAGCCTGATTTCCAGACCCTCATTGCCACGCGTATGGTATTCAAGTGCACCAAACCTGTATAAAACCGTATATCGTTCGGAATTTCTAGGCTGAGAGGACAATCATCGTTGAGATGAAAGTTTTTAGACCTTTGATACGAATTATTGACAGAACCATTAGTACCTAACTATTTTGATACGTGATAAAATACGGCAGGCAGGTGCGAGAGCTTCCAGCCGTTCTCATCATCTCATCGAAAAGTCTGTCTCACATATAAGGCACGTGGCGCCTAGATACCGTTAGCAGTTGTGAGCAGCTTTGCGTCCTGCCGAAAATGAAGCTCTTCGTCGCGCTCTTGGCTGTCGGGCTGCCTGCCCTGGCCGCCGCCCACTCCTGGATCGTCTGTACGGACTACCTGGAGAACAACGGCTGGTACTGGGACGAGGCCAAGTGCAGGGGGTGGCCACGAGCTGCCACGCGGTAAAACAATGTTTTGTTCGAAGTACTTGAAGTGCAACATTGTCGTCCACAACACTTATATACTATATATATGATAGTAGACATATTGATTGCCGTTAAATGTTTTTATCTTGACGAATTCGATGCAAAACATTTCAGTTAGGTTTCCATTCTTGTAACTGTTGATTGCGGACCCGGATACTCTGCAACAGATATGAGTCAGCTTACAGATGTGCCTATGATGTGCCCTATGTGTTTCGTATAGGACTGTTCAGTCATAGCCGAAGCAACAAGCTGTTTAGGATTTTACCATGGATTTTAAAACTGACCAGAATATCCAATTGGTGGTAGGCATTTCTTATATTGTGAACGTTTTCCTCAGATGTTCTGTATACTAAGAAATATTCACAATCCTCAAATTTCAGGTTCAATCTTCGTTTCGGAGTGTTCGGAACGCAGAATAATTACACATGGCGCCTTGACAACCACCCTGAGGAAAGGGCCCTGTGTAAGAAAAACCGAAATGACGACAAGTGGTACGACGCTGACACTCCCATGGCTGCCTACTACCAGGGGCAAAAGGTCGTCCTCCCCCATCCCGCGAACGTAAGACGTGTTTAAAAGCTTCTCTGGAGGCTATTTCGATCTGATACTACGGGAACGCTACAGTTGGTTCTACGCATTGAAACCTATATGCAAAAGAAACAGGCAAAACAAGGACATGAAATACATGTATCACAGGATATATAGTCGCAAAAACTCACCTTCATGAGCTAGCCCATTTATTGACATGTACTCGTACTTACAAGCCTTTTCGGGAAATTCTGTTCGGCTAGTCACAAGATATTACTGGTTTTGTGAACATCTGTCAACTTTACAACGTACTTGTATTCCGTGTGGATAGTTAAAGAATAAGCGATCATTACCTTTCACCCTTTTAGTTTGATAATGTCTGTTCGTTTGTTGGTTTGTTGGTTATTTGTTTGTTTGTTTATTTGTTGTGTTGTGTTGTTCATTAGCCCTACTGACACTTAGAGAAATGTTCTCGAAACTCTAGAACCATGTGGCAGATCCCAGGTGCAAAGGAAGAGGCACAGTCGACACGGAGAACCTGATGTTTGTAGTGAACGGAGACAAGGACCCCTGCTGTATCAACTCGACCGACCTCATCCAGATAATGGACATGGGAGTTTCCCCTTATGGTACGTAGCTACTATGCTACTATATTGTTTATTGTGCTACTATGGTAGCATTATGGATCACCCCATGCCACTTACTTGATTCACAAGTTGGCCTGTCTAATGGAAACGGCAACATTCAGTTTCTGAGTCAGCCAGCAGCCAATTTCTTCACTTAGCCCATGGGCATTTCCCCTCAGCTAATGAGAAATACTGTTTATTTACTGCCACAGTGGTTATATCTACATAGTGTGGGACTATCAAAAAGTGGGAGGCTATTTCATGAAAATAAGGAAAACATGTAGGGATATCAGCCCAAATTGTGTGAATATTGGCAAAAAGTGTGAGGATTTGAACGAAAATGTGTGGGGGGTATACCTGTTATGACGACTCTTCAATGTTATAATCTAGGACTTCACCCTTGGGAGACTAGATATCCCCTCAGTGGATGGCACTGGAGCTATACTCTCCAAGGAGAGGTTTGGGTTTTGGGGGTATTTTTAGCGTGTTTTTAGGCTGAAAAATTCAGTGCAAAAGAGAAACCCCGATAAAAAAAAGCCTAAAAACACGCTAAAAATACCCCAAAACCCAAACCTCTGCTTGGAGAATACCGGAGCTATACACGTCATGGGCTAACTCTTACGTCTTTGCTCCATCTAGGATTTGATCTTCCCGACGAGGTTTTGACCACCTACCCGAAACCCGGCTTCCAGAACGTGCCCAAGTTCTGTGATGATCCTGAGGACGCCATGGGGACCTACAACTTCACCATCCCGACGGACTTGCAACCAGGTCATGCCCTTCTCTAAATTCAATGCTGTCTCTAGACTCAAAAACTAGTCATTGGTCATCTCTTGCTTCTCTGTTTCAATAGCGTTTTTATCCTTATACCTGTCACGCTACAGGACTACAAGTTTTTTTGTCACGCCATAGTTCAGGTCGCCACTTTTTAGTTCAGGTCCTTATACCTGTCACGCCACAAGTCTACAAGTATTTTTTTTGTCACGCCACATTTCAGATCGCCATACAGGTCCCTTATACTTGTCCGCCACAAGTCTACAAGTTTGTGTGTTTTTGTTTTTTTCACACGCCACAATTCAGGTCGCCACACCTTCGTCTGGAAGTGGATCCGTGACCCAGCAGTCAACCCCTTCACCACGTGCTGGGAGGCTGACGTGTTCGCTACTAAAGCGGAGAGAGACGCGCACTACATAGCCACGGTACATATAAATCTTGCCTTTCTTGGCTTTTCCCGAATCGTAACCTATCCTAAGTCTTCACCTCTCACTGGCTCGTCAAAAGCAGGGCACGTCAGGGGAAGACACCACTCTACTCTCCAAGCTAGCAGAGGTTTGGGTTTTGGCTTATTTTAGGCTTTTTGTCGGGGTTTCTTTTTTGCACTGAAACGTTGGGTTGGCGTAAAAAAAATCAGTGCAAAAAAAGAAACCCCGATACATAATGCCTAAAAACACGCCGAAATAAGCCAAAACACAAACAACCTCTGCTTGGAGAGTAGTACCACTCGACTATTATTGCTCACGGCTGCTCTTCGATGTGTCAGGTTTTCACTGCTCTCTGGTTTTGAAATTACAACATTATTACATCAGCGTAAGAACAACTGAAGTAATTGTACTCTGAGCTACCATGAGAGAATTTGTATTTCTTAACGTTAACTTTTGCTTGTCCCTTATCTACAGGGTCGCTCCACGGAAGACGCGTGGGACTTCTACCAAATCCACAACATCGTGGATGGGATGATCATGGACCCGGTGGATCCGTCTATCAACGAGGTCATCACTGGATGAGGACAAATAAAACTATGAAATATGCAAACAGCTCCCTATGGTAGCAAATAAAAGTTCCTCAGTCTTATCCATGTGACTCGTGATGGTTATAATTCAATACCTATAAATGTGGGAAAAAGCTAGGAGACTACTCGGATGTAAAGGTGTAACGTATATTTCTATCTTTACTGTGTCATTTACGACAAGTGATACTGTGTTAATTTGTGTGTGAATGTGTGTGTATGTGTGTGCGCGTGTGTGTGCGTGCGTGCGTGCGTGCGTGCGTGTGTGTGTGTGTGTGTGTGTGTGTGTGTGTGTGTGTGTGTGTGTGTATGTGTGCGTCAGCGAGTGCGTCAGTGTGTGCGTGCGTGTGTGCGTGTTCCCTGTGTTGAACTTTGACCATGGTAACCTAATTTTCTGTATTTGTTTTAACCATTGACCTCTGTTTTAACACATGACAGATACTAACTATTTTCATGAATATGACACAATCAGACTTATAATTCCACCCAAAGCACACAAATAAGCCGTCACTGTCATATGTATGGTATTAGAATGCACCAAACCTGTATAAAACCGTATATAGTTCAGAATTTCTAGGCTGAGATGACAATCATCGTTGAGATGAGAGTTTTCAAACCCTTGATACGAATTATTGACAGAGCCATTAGTACCTAAGTTCGTGATAAAAATACCCCAGGCAGGTGCGAGAATTTCCAGCCGTTCTCATAGATCAGGTCGAAAAGTCTGCCTCACATATAAAGAACGTACGCTTGGCGCGTAGAGACAGTTGGCAGTAGTGAGCATCTTTGCGTCCTGTCGAAAATGAAGCTCTTCGTCGCGCTCTTGGCTGTCGGGCTGCCTGCCCTGGCCGCCGCCCACTCCTGGATCGTCTGTACGGACTACCTGGAGAACAACGGCTGGTACTGGGACGAAGCCAAGTGTCGAGGATGGCCACGCGGAGCTACATAGTGAGATCATGATACCAATACAACTACGTACATTGCAATTTCTAATCGGTATTTCTCCTCTAAAATTCCATATGGAAAATTGTCTGGGATAAGGTTAGGCCGTACTAGCGAGTATCAACGGTTAACTTGCTAGAAAATAGTAGTAACCATTATCATGGTCAGGACGTAACGTCACAAGTGTATCAACATATTGCCTCAAAACAATCAGTCTCGTTCTAATAATGTTAGTCAAGAGAACAGTTTGCGTCTCCCAAAACTGCTCTATTAGCGAGGACCAACTGCCCTGGCATATCATCTATTATGGCCAATTCATTTTGTCCAATTCACTCTTTCCAGTCGCTTTTCGAAGCCTGGTAGAAGCTACTAATATACAAATGATGGCTTCTAATGTATTTCTAGACGCACAAATTGTTACGCATCAAGAAGCACACCTATCTGAATTATCTTTGAATTTTCCATTTAGTTACAACCTTCGGTTTGGGACATTCGGGACACATAACAACTACACCTGGCGCCTGGACAACCACCCCGAGGACCGGGCTCTGTGTAAAGTGTCCCGGAATGACGACCGTCGGTACACCGAGGAAACCCCCATGGCTGCCTACTACCTGGGCCAGGAGGTCGTCATAACTCATCCGGCAAACGTAAGACATATTTCTTTTCCATCATGACTATTTCCAAGTGTACTTTTTTTGTATAGTTTATTCATAAATCAAACGAAATTCCATACACTGAACCAGCCATGAGAACAGAAAGTTTAGAATAATACTGATAATGAAAAGTCAACACCATTTGCCCCGATATACTTCTGCAGCTTTTTTCTACTTTATGAAAGAAGCTTATATAATTAATCAAGCTTGCAATGAAACATTGAAAAGGTTGGCCTTTCTATTTTTAAAGCTGCACATTTTGGTTACTGAAATTACAAGATTACCGCTAGCAAGGGCTTCTGAATTCAAGTTACCAAAAATGACAAAGGAATTGAGATGTCACGGTACTGTTTGCTTTGCTATTGTTTTTACTGCGTTTTCGCATATTTCTCTTCACTCTAGAACCATGTGGCGGAGTCCCAGTGCCGATGGAGGGCCACCATCGACTGGGAGAACCTGATGTTTGTAGTGGACGGAGACGAGGACCCCTGCTGTATCGACTCGGACAAACTCATCCAAATCATGGACATGGGACGGTCACCATATGGTTCGTAGTACTAGTGGCTCGAAATAACTTTCTGTAACGTATTTATACTTAATTCGTAAGTGGTCTAATGGGCATTTTACGGTTGTTATTATGAAGATGATTGTCCTATATGATAAAATTACAGACCAATAAATAACCACTTTATATTCACCTATGTAGGGACTGAGCTTTCCGATGAAGTTCTCAGGACATACCCGAAACCCGGTTTCCAGAACGTGCCCAAGTTCTGTGAGGATCCTGAGGACGCCATGGGGACCTACAACTTCACCGTCCCGGCAGACATGAGGCCAGGTGATGGACTGTCTAAGCTTTCACTAATTTAGTTCTTCACACTGTTTTCTTTGCTGTGTGTTTGATCATTTGCCTTACTGTTGCCTATCCATCCACTAACTACTTCATGAACAACCGTCCATAGCGTCACGAGTTACTAGACACAAACAGAAACACACCCTCTGCAGTAGAAACAAGACAGGATAACCATTTTCGACCTTTGTTTCCATAACCGCTACCTACCTAACAAATTTCAGTAAGTTATGCTGAACACATACAATCGACAAGTGCATGAAAATCCCGCTGCAGTACCGTTGGAAAAATCCAGGTGGACCATTTTTGAACTTGACCTTTGTCTCCACAACAGCTACTCACATACCAAATGTCAATAAGATCCACCCACAACTTCTCGAGTAACGTTGACACGCATACACACCTACACCACAGCCACTCCAACATGGCCAAACCGAAAACATACCCTTCTGACGAAGGTAATAACACAGGCTTTTACCTCTCTAAAGGTCGCCATATCTTCGTCTGGAAGTGGATCCGTGATCCTGCTGTCAGTCCCTTCACCACGTGTTGGGAGGCTGACGTGTTCGCCACTAAAGCGGAGAGGGACGCGCACTACCTGGCAACGGTAACATCACTTTCATGACCTTTAAACATCAAGCCATAAGCCAGTCCACGTGCAGACTCTACTCGAAGGTTATTGGTCACAGTGAAGTGTAACACCTACTGTACGGTTTGTCAGGTTTTGCTGTAGCTTTACATTAGAATACTACATTACATTTGTTGTCAATAATGACTGCACCTACACGTCTTCTGCATTAGTGTAAGAGCAAGCGAAGAATTGCACTCTAGGAGTTCATTAAGACTAAGATATTATATCCCGCCAGAGACTATGTACATCTTACGTTTGGCTTGTTCCTTATGTACAGGGTCGCTCCACAGAAGACATGTGGGACTTCTACCAGATCCACAACATCGTGGATGGGATGATCATGGACCCGGTGGATCCGTCTATCAACGAGGTCATCACTGGATGAGGACAAAAAACAGCCAAAATGCACAACAAAAAGCTACCTATGGTAGCAAATAAAGGTTCCTCAGTATAAAATACTCCTGTGATGGTTATAACTCAGTACCCATTATGGAAATAATCTGGCCAGTAGGGAATAGTGGTGTCCCCTATACCATGCATTTAGTGCATAGTGCACAGACCACTATTAGAAGCTTCCATTGAAATATATTGTAAAGATATCAGAATGAAAAAGCTGTCAAAAACCATCTACCTGAGTGTTCAACTATTGAAAACTCACATTGACAACGTAGTACGACCCCTAAATTGTCCATTTAGTCCTAAATATCTTACGGCAGAATGTAAGATTATGTAAGTGAAATCAAACGTGACACTCTGTATGACTCAGGATACAGGCAACAACTTCTAGAGTTCTACCAGGCAGCTCCTTTATACGATACCCTTTAGCCAAAACTGGCTAGTCTTCCAGGGTTCATACAAAGATCATACAATACAAACAACAGATGACATAGTTAAAAATACACATATGACATAAAGAGGAAATTTACATTATTACATTATGTACAAATGAAAGATACCTCATTCACACTCTAATCACAGGACTCATATTGTGTGAACAGTTGGCGGATGGCTTTTTTAAAGTTTGATGTACTTGACAGTGATTTGATGTGTTGTCGTAGTTTGTTCCAAAGGTCGATTGCACGATACTGAAATGTTCTTTTTTTACTGTTTGTTTTTGGTTTGGGGAGCAAGAAACTATTAGAAGCTGAAAATCTGGTTGAATATTTGTGGGTTGACTGGATTGGAACAAGTGAATCATATATGATTTGGGGTTCCTTACTGGATAGCACTCTGAAGAACATATTCAACGTGCTAATAACAAACTTGTCTTTGACCAAAGACCATCCCAATTCCCTGTGCAGCTCAAGCCTAACATTGTGTTTTTGTCTTACAACCAAATAAAAAGAAAAACTATCCAACTCAGGCAACAACATTTATCCACATATAACAAGAAAAAGACTGTCTTAAACATTTGGTTTGGATCCTCTCATCAATATTATGCATCAGTTCCTCAAAATTGGCCTTCTAGGTCTGCGCGAAATAGTGATTTTGTCCCATAGGGGTCTGTGATAGTGTGATAAAGTCAGTACGAAAAGATATTGTTTATATTCAGGGTTTGGGATAGAACATTTTGCCTCCATGCGTCCCCTCGACACGCGCAAAGGAAATGTTTACTAACTTCTAAAAATAACTATACACATTTCTGTTACCTAGCAACATCGTACGCACAGAGAATCCCTCGATAGCAATCCATGAAGAACGAGACTTTCAAATCACCCAAACTATCTTCTTTAAATAAAGCTACCCCACACAGGCTACCTGTTTGCAAATAAAAGATGTTCCGTTCTTCCTATTTTCACACGTCTTTGATAAAGGTTATCGTGTAAAAGTTGAACATTCTCTAGTGCATTTCTGGGATAATGAAAACACTTGCTGTTGGGTGAAAATGAAAACAAAATATATAGTCCGGCAATGGCTAGAATACACCTGGCAAGAAAGTCTCCAAGTAAATAGTTGATAGTTGATTATGATATCTGCTTAATGCTTGGGCAAACATGGAACTGCCTCCGTGTGGATTACGGTGCTATACAGAAGTGCCAGCGCCCCCATGCGGCCTGCTAGTTGCCGCAAAGCTAGGCTACCTCGTCTGTCTCTCAAATATGGATTATTTATCAAAATGTCGGTACCCTCTGAACATTGTACAAAACGGCACGGCGTCTGCACAACGAGACATTTGACACCTGTGTGTTAAAACAAATACAACAGCTGCGAGGTCTTCCCGTTGTTCCCATCCTGTTATAACAAATGTACATATAGAGCACGACTTTGCACAGACGACAAGAGTTGGCAGTTGTGAGCAACTTTGCGTCCTGTCGAATATGAAGCTCTTCGTCGCGCTCTTGGCTGTCGGGCTGCCTGCCCTGGCCGCCGCCCACTCCTGGATCGTCTGTACGGACTACCTGGAGAACAACGGCTGGTACTGGGACGAAGCCAAGTGTCGGGCCTGGCCGAGGTCTGCTCATAGGTATGTAGGCTCTGTGAGGAACTACTTTGCACTTCATCTATGATACAAAAAGGACAAGATATATACTCAATAATTTCATCAGGTTGGTGAGTGAATAGCAAAGATCTTCTTTTCACAGCCATTTGTTAAACAAGAGCCGATGTTTCGATGACCGTCTGTCATCTTCATCAGGGTAATATGACTGGTTTACTGTGCACTGAAGCTAGATGTTACATGGTTCACTGTGCACTGAAGCTAGGTGTTACTGGTTTACTTTTCACTGAGGCTAGGTGCTACTGGTTCACTGTGCAGTGAAGCTAGGTGTTGCTGATTTACTGTGCACTGGAGCTAGCTGTTACTAGTTCACTGTGCACTGGAGCTAGGTGTTACTGGTTTACTGTTCACTGAAACTAGGTGCTACTGGTTCACTGTGCACTGAAGCTAGGTGTTACAGTTGCATCATTGACTGTGCCTCATGAAAATGACAGGCTGTCATCGAAACGTCAGCTGGTTGTGAATAAAGAACTTACCATTCAAGGAAAATAAAGATTGGCATCTTTCTCGATACCATCTGATGATCTATTCCAGGCATGACATTCGTTTCGGCCCCTTTGGACAACATCGCGGCTTCCTGAACAAGCTGGACAACCACCCGGAGGAGACCGCGCTGTGCACGCATCCGCGGAACGACGACACCGAGTACACGGACCTAACCCCCATGGCGGCGTACTACCTGGGGCAGAAGGTCGTCCTAACTCACCCCGCAAACGTACGAATTCTCTTTCGTTACCAGACTGATATCATCTCAAAATAAGACTACTATTACAATGCCAATGGATGGAAGTAAACTTCAAAGGAGTGTAGACAAAAGAAACCTATGCTGAAGTAAAGAGTCGACTAGGACATACTAAAACAGTTTAGGACGATCAGGGCATGTTGGTTTGATGATGGATGACGTCCGCGCGCGCATGAATTTTTGTCATTTACATGCTATTCTTTGTGATATCCATTACCAGAACCATGTGGCAGACGTGAGGTGTAAGAACAACACCAACATCGTTGACACCGAAAACATCATCTTCTCTGTGGACCAGGCCGAGCCGCAGGACCCCTGCTGTATCGACTCGGAAAAACTCCTAGTGGTGGAGGACTTGGGAATATCGCCGTATGGTTAGTAGATATACCTCTTTACTTCAGGGGTCTCTTTATTTCAGGGGTCTCCATTTTTCAGGGGTCTCTTTTATTTCAGGGGTCTCTTTATTTCAGGGGTCTCTTTATTTCAGGGGTCTCATGTACGTAGATCTGTGCTCTCTGTTTGCAGGGTTTGTGTTATGGTATTGCGTCGTTACATGTTGTTCTATCCATGTCATCTCAGCAAATTTAAAATCAATTTTATCTCTTTAAAACAGGGCCTAACATCGACCCTGTAATAACCATCACCTACCCGAAACCCGGCTTCCAGAACGTGCCCAAGTTCTGTGAGGATGAAGCGAACTCCATGGGAACCTACAACTTCACCATTCCTATGGACATGAAGCCAGGTGCGTTTCTGTATCTGAATCTTTATCTGTACTGCCGGTATACTACTAACCGCCCTTCAGTGCAACACACCAGCTACGCAGGCACGCGGCGCGGCGGCAGCTGGCTACATTACACCGAACGGCTTGTTACATTTAATTTTTGCACATCTTACATCTAACCCTAAACATTGTGTCAAGATATATAGTGAGGATGCCCAAACTGTACTTGCTGGCAGCGATTTTCACTCTAGCATAGTTCCAGCGAGGAAAAAGATAAGTTTTTGAACACCTCAATCCTTGGATGATAACTCCTTGGTTTGTACTTAAAGACCGTTTCGGTGGCAAGGGACAGAATTTGGAAACGTTATTTTCTTACTGCTTCATTTTTGCGCTATGCGCCAAAATAAAATCATGTACACTCCTCTGGTGGTCAATGGATACTGTCTTGCCACCGTAGGATCTGCTTGGAGATTGACACTGGCCAATGTTAGTATTGTTATCGTTCACAGGTCGCCACACGTTCGTCTGGAAGTGGATCCGGAGCCCGAGAGTCAGTCCCTTCACCACGTGTTGGGAGGCTGACGTGTTCGCCACTAAAGCGGAGAGGGACGCGCACTACCAGTCTACGGTAATTATGCTCGTGTCATTTTCCACTTCACTGAGTACTACGTATAGATCCCATTTTTCCCCACTGTTTATTCAAATCATGAAAACAAGTACAGGTACAAGTACATATACATACACAGCTACTTTTAACAACTTTTACAGCCATATCCCCCAAATACACGGACCAACCACAAAAACAGACACTAAAAAATGATGTCTAAATCACTTTAGATCGCATTTTTTAATCCCCGTATTGTCTATTTTCTGTGCCTGCTCCCTACAATAACATGAAAAGGGCTCGGCAAGAGGCCAGTGAAGGGTCTGGAGCATGAAGCCCCGCCCACCTCCGTCAAACATACAAAAAGTTCTACCCCTAAAACCCTGTTCTGTCTCCCCAGGGCCAGACTATAGTTGACGTATGGGACTTCTACCAGATCAACACCATTGTTAACGGAGAGATCGTGGATCCGATAGACCCTGTGGACCCGATCATCAGTGGCTGATCCTACAGCGGGAGATAATCATTCATGATGTCCACGAAATAAATCTCAATCTGTGAAATATCACTGTTGTTTGTCATTTAGTAACGTATCTGTGTCGTGTACATGTATCTGTATAGTCGGTATAGCCAACCCTCAGCGTTACACACCTAGCTTCTGTATCTGTATAGCCGGTATAACACCCCCTTGGCATAACACACCAGCTATGTTTACCACAACTAAGTGCAAAATCCGGGACAGAATTTTAGAACTAAGAGGTGCCAAACCCGCGATACCAACCATTAGGAGACAGATGTTTTGTCTTAAATGAACTGAAAATACTACATGTATACAATAAGGTGTACTGAAATACACTCTGGCCGTATGATAAGCCAGCCAGGAATGCACCTGAAGATTAATCTCCAAGCAGATCCTTGGGTGACAGGACAGTATCCATGCATTAGCTACAGGAGTTCCCAATATCCTAATAGATCATTTGTGCTAGCGTTTTGACCGTTAGAACTATTCCTACAAAGGTAAAAAAAACACTATTGGGCAGAAATGTATTGTTTGTCAACGGATACGACCTTGTGCTACAGAGATATCATATGATAGCTATATATAAAATAAGTCCTATAGGTCATTTGTGGGTATTTTTAAGTGTACCTTGCGGCGTCTTACCCGCTGTCCTACTCGACGAGCGACGATGAAGCTCCCGGCTCTAGCCCTGGCCCTGGCGGCGGCGCTGCCTGCCCTGGCCGCCGCCCACTCCTGGATCGTCTGTACGGACTACCTGGAGAACAACGGCTGGTACTGGGACGAGGCGAAATGCAGGGCATGGCCGAGGTCTGCCGCACGGTAAGCTATGACTTTCAGAACAACTTCAAGCACAACTTGAGCTTTGTCCCAAAAATAGGGAAAAACTTCATGATGGCGGTAAAAAAAAGAGTCTCTTTATTCTTTATACGATTGTGAATTGCAGTTACAACCTTCGGAATGGGCACTTCGGGACACAGAACGAGTACGCGCATCGCCTGGACAACCATCCCGAGACAAACCCTCTGTGCGAGACAGCGAGAAACGACGACACGGAGTACACAGACAGTACCCCCATGGCGGCGTACTACCTGGGACAGAAGGTCGTCCTACCACACCCAACTTATGTGTGTCAATTTGACAGTCGTATGAATTTTTACAGGCACCCAACGCAATTTCAATGCGGTAATGCAAAACATATATAATAAATACTCACGGTGTACTTTACTCAAACCATTGTGACATTTGCCAGTGAAAACAAAGAATCTATTTGCATATATATAACTGAGTCCGGCAGTGACGGCTCGGGTTTCAGTCGGACATCCTTTACAAACGTAACCTTTACAAACTTGACTTAACAAACCTGATGTTACATCATTCTTATGTCAACATTTGCTGCCTGTTGTGTGATAAAATATCCGGGCACGTGCGAGGCCCTCCTGTTGATTCTTCCCATCCGACCATAGCATATGTGACAGAAAAACTAATCTGCAGGTGACACATGAATAGTTTGAACATTAACGTTAATGTTACTGGGGGGGGGGGATCATTATGAGCACATATATATGTATACGCATACGTAACTGAAGTCAAGCTCAAGGAATCTTGGAGTTTTTGCTGTTTAGGTGCGTTCTGTGTGACGGCCCGGGTGTCGGGTGACATCCTTTACAAACTTAACCTTTACAAACTGACTTTACAAACCTGATAGTAATTGTTCACGGTGTCAACATTTGCTATCTGTTGTGTGATAAAACATCCGGGCGCGTGCGAGGCCCTCCTGTTAATTCTTCCCATCCGACCATAGCAAAGATAAGGATACAAATATAAGTAACACTATGCACAAGAGGTGTGTGCACAACGAACCAGAGTTGGCAGTAGTGAGCAGCTTTGCGTCCTGTCAAAAATGAAGCTCTTCGTCGCGCTCTTGGCTGTCGGGCTGCCTGCCCTGGCCGCCGCCCACTCCTGGATCGTCTGTACGGACTACCTGGAGAACAACGGCTGGTACTGGGACCAGGCTAAGTGTCGGGCCTGGCCAAGGTCTGCTCATAGGTATGTAGGCTCTGTGAGGAACTACTTTGCACTTCATCTATGATACAAAAAGGACAAGATATATACTCAATAATTTCATCAGGTTGGTGAGTGAATAGAAAAGATCTTTTCAACCATTTGTTAAACAAGAGCCGATGGTTCGATGACCGTCTGTCATCTTCATCAGGGCTAATATGACTGGTTTACTGTGCACGGGAGCTATTTGTTACACGGTGGTTCGATGCACTGAAGATAGATATTACATGGTTCAGCTAGGTGTTACTGGTTTGCTGTGCACTGAAGCTAGGTGTTACATGGTTCACTGAAGCTAGGTGTTACATGGTTCACTGTGCACTGAAGCTAGGTGTTACATGGTTCACTGTGCACTGAAGCTAGGTGTTACATGGTTCACTGAAGCTAGGTGTTACATGGTTCACTGAAGCTAGGTGTTACATGGTTCACTGTGCACTGATGCTAGGTGTTACTGGTTCACTGTGCACTGAAGCTAGGTGTTACTGGTTTACTGTGCACTGAAGCTAGGTGTTACTGGTTCACTGTGCAGTGAAGCTAGGTGTTACTGGTTTACTGTGCACTGGAGCTAGGTGTTACTGGTTCACTGTGCACTGAAGCTAGGTGTTACTGGTTCACTGGGTACTGGAGCTAGATGTTATTCTGCACTGTACATGAAGCTAGATGTTACAGTTACATGCTTCACTGTTCCCTCATGAAAATGACAGGCTGCCATCGAAACGTCAGCTGGTCGTGAATAAAATAACTTAACCATTCAAGGAAAATAAAGATTGGCGTTTTTCTTCATACCATCTATTCCAGGTATAACATTCGTTTCGGCAACTTTGGGCATCATCGCGGGTTCCTGAACAAGCTGGACAACCACCCGGAGGAGACCGCGCTGTGCACACATCCGCGGAACGACGACACCGAGTACACGGACCTAACCCCCATGGCGGCGTACTACCTGGGGCAGAAGGTCGTCCTAACACACCCCTCAAACGTACAAATTCTCTTTCATTTCCAGACTGACATCATCTCAAAATAAGACTAATATTACAATGCCAATGGATGGAAGTAAACTTAAGAGCAGTGTAGATAAAAGAGACCTACGCTGAAGTAAAGATTCGACTAGGACATACTAAAACAGTTTAGGACGACCAGGGTATATTGGTTTGATGATGGCAGGATGGATAGATGGATGACGTCCGCGCGCGCATGAATTTTCGTCAGTTACACGCTATTCTCAGAGACTAGCATCAGAGACGTTACATGCTATTCTTTGTGATGTTCATCCATTACCAGGGCCATGTGGCAGACGTGAGGTGTAAGAACGACACCAACATCGTTGACACCGAAAACATCATCTTCTCTGTGGACCAGGCCGAGCCGCAGGACCCCTGCTGTATCGACTCGGACAAACTCCTCGTGGTGGAGGACTTGGGAATATCGCCGTTTGGTTAGTAGATATATATATCTTTACTTCAGTGGTCTCTTTATTTCAGGGGTCTCTTCATTTCAGGGGTCTCTTTTATTTCAGGGGTCTCATGTACGTAGCTCTGTTCTCTCTGTTTGCAGGGTCTTCATTATGGTATTGTGTCGTTACATGTTGTTCTATCCATGTCATCTCAGCAAATTTAAAAACAATTTTATCTCTTAAAAAACAGGGCCTGACATCGACCCTGTAATAACCATCACCTACCCGAAACCCGGCTTCCAGAACGTGCCTAAGTTCTGCGAGCATGAGAGGAAATCCATGGGGACCTACAACTTCACCATTCCTATGGACATGAAGCCAGGTGCGTTTCTGTATCTGAATCTTTATCTGTACTGCCGGTATACTACTAACCGCCCTTCAGTGTAACACACCAGCTACACAGGCACGCGGCGCGGCGGCAGCTGGCTACATTACACCGAACGGCTTGTTACACTTAATTTTTGCACATCTTACATCTAACCCTAAACATTGTGTCAAGATATATAGTGAGGATGCCCCTAGCCCTACTGTACTTCCTGGCAGCGATTTTCACTCTAGGATAGTTCCAGCGAGGAAAAAGATAAGTTTTTGAACACCTCAATCCTTGGATGGTAACTCCTTGGTTTTGTACTAACACGGTGGTACTAAAAGACCGCTTCGGTGGCAAGGGACAGAATTTGGAAACGTTATTTTCTTACTGCTTCATTTTTGCGCCACGCGCCAAAATAAAATCATGTACACTCTTCTGGCTAATGGATACTGTCTTGCGACCGTAGGATCTGGTTGGAAATTGACACTAGCCAATGTTAGTATTGTTACCGTTCACAGGTCGCCACACGTTCGTCTGGAAGTGGATCCGGAGCCCTGCGGTCAGTCCCTTCACCACGTGTTGGGAGGCTGACGTGTTCGCCACTAAAGCGGAGAGGGACGCGCACTACCAGTCTACGGTAATTATGCTCGTGTCATTTTCCAGCTATTATGTGAGGTACGCAAAAAATTAAGATATGCCTCACGTAGCTTGTTTTCGGGGCTATTTCAAGTATGGAATTATGAAGAAAATGTACTAAGAAATGGCAGTAATGTCAATATCAGACAGATTTCAACAGTTAATACTTGTGTAATACTATATGTCGCCCTGAAATTGCATTGGATGCCGTTAAAGCTAGGAGCTCTACCCCTAACCCTGTTCTGTCTCCCCAGGGCCAGACTACCGTAGACATGTGGGACTTCTACCAGATCAACACCATTGTTAACGGAGAGATCGTGGATCCCATAGACCCTGTGGACCCGATCATCAGTGGCTGATCCTACAGCGGGAGATAATAATTCATGATGTCCACGAAATAAATCTCAATCTGTGAAATATCATAGTTGCTTGTCATTTAGTTACTTGTCTGTGTCATGTACATGTATCTATATCTGTATCTGTATAGCCGGTATAACCGCCCCTCGGCGCATCACACCAGCTTCTGTATCTGTATTAACCGCCCCTAGTATACCTTACCAGCTATGTTTACCACCACTAAGTGCAAAAGCCAGGACAGTATTTTTAGACCTAGAGGTACAATTCGTCACCAACCCCCGAAACCAACCATTAGGAGACAGATGTTTTGCCCTAAAAGACCTAAAAAATACTATATAATAACGTGTACTGAAATACACTCTGGTCGTGTGATAAGCCAGTCAGGAATGCACCTGTAGATAAATTAATCTCCAAGCAGATTCTTCGGTGGCAAGACAGTATCCATGCAATGGCCACAGGAGTGCCCATTAACCTAATAGATCATTTGTCCTAGCGTTTTGACCGTTAGAACTAGTCCTACAAAGGTAAAAAAAAAACACTATTGGGCAGAAAGGTATTGTTTGTCAACGGATACGACCTTGTGCTACAGAGATATCATATGATAGCTATATATAAAATAAGTCCTATAGGTCATTTGTGGGTATTTTTTAAGTGTACCTTGCGGCGTCTTATCCGTTGTCCTACTCGACGAGCGACGATGAAGCTCCCGGCTCTAGCCCTGGCCCTGGCGGCGGCGCTGCCTGCCCTGGCCGCCGCCCACTCCTGGATCGTCTGTACGGACTACCTGGAGAACAACGGCTGGTACTGGGACGAGGCCAAGTGTCGGGCCTGGCCGAGGTCTGCCGCACGGTAAGCTATGACTTTAAGAACAACTTCAAGCACAACTTGAGTTTTGTCCCAAATATAGGAAAAACTTCATGATGGCGGTAAAAAAAAGAGTCTCTTTATTCTTTCTACGATTGTGAATTGTAGTTACAACCTTCGGAACGGTCAGTTCGGGACACAGAACGAGTACGCGCATCGCCTGGACAACCACCCCGAGACAAACCCCCTGTGCGAGACCGCGAGAAACGACGACACCGAGTACACAGACAGTACCCCCATGGCGGCGTACTACCTGGGACAGAAGGTCGTCCTACCACATCCAACTAACGTGAGTCAACGTGGCAGTCGTACGAATTTTTACAGGCACCCAACGCAATTTCAATGCGGCAATGCAAAACATACTATTTTTCCAGCGATCCGCGGTGCCTGGTAGAGGCTAACAAAACGTCGTTTGCTTGTAGATTATGTTTTAAACGCTTTTACAGATAATGGGAAAATGACTGGTTAAAAATTTGCAGGCGAAATAAATACTCACGGTGTACTGTACTCAAACCATTGTGACATTTGCATACCAACCTAGTGAAAACAAATAATCTATTTGCAGACACAAATTGAAAACACACATTTAACTTTCGTGAAGTCTCTAATAAACCCACGATAAGTACATTTATGTAAGGTATAAATGCAAATCTATTGCGGTCTACTTGCAATATGTCTCCATTAAATATTGGACATTTTTCAGCATGGCCATGTTTACGTTAACACATTAGGGGCACGTGGCAGATGTCCGATGTAAGGATAAGAACGTCAAGGATATTGAGAACCTGATGTTTGTAGTGGACGGAGACCAGGACCCCTGCTGTATCGACTCGGACAAACTCATCCAAATTTTCGACATGGGACGGTCACCATATGGTTCGTATAACCAAGAACACCTCTGTACATTATTTATTCAGCCATAGGTTAAAGCTGAGGTCCTTTCTGCACCAGGTGGTGCTTAGGGTGGCGCAGATCACAGGTACAATAACCCTTGGGCCACACAGCAGAGTTATCACCACGGCAGGGATGTATTCACTGGTTATGGTGTATGTTTAACTACCACACTCTTTCCCAAATGCTAAGTGCTTAGCAGGGAAAGCGTACGCTGTCTTCATCATTTTCAAGTCTTTGGTATGACTAGTCCGGGGATCTAACCCACGACCTACCGAATACAAGGCACTCTACCCACTTGACCATTGAATAGCCATACCCTTGTCATATTGATGGTCAATTAACAATAATTTTCTCGCCGCATCATATATACTTAGCATTATTTTCCCTTATTCAAGCATTATGGAACAAACTTGATAAAACTTCAGAAATTGGTTAATCGGGAACTTTGTAGCCGAAGTAGAAGTAAACCTTCTTACTGTAACTAGGTAACAACATCCCACCTGAGCTGACAACCATCTACCCCAAACCCGGCTTCCAAAACGCGCCCAAGTTCTGTGAGGATCAGGGAAATGCCATGGCGACCTACAACTTCACCATTCCTGTGGATCTGACACCGGGTGAGGAAGACTTTCTTTTAGAGAGCAAAAATAATACTTCTGCGAATGGAGACATCTTGCTTTTGCTCTGTTTCGTGTCTTCATCTTCTTCTCCAAACACATAAGGTCAATGAACAGGACCAGACATCTGTCACCATAGTAATTAAAGCAGACACACTGTAGTGTTACCATCATGTAGCAGACAGTTGGAGGGACTAGTCAATGACCTGGACCAGACGTCTGTCACCATGGTAACTAAAGCAGACACACTGTAGTGTTACCATCATGTAGCAGACAGTTGGAGGGACTAGTCAATGACCTGGACCAGACGTCTGTCACCATGGTAACTAAAGCAGACACACTGTAGTGTTACCATCATGTAGCAGACAGTTGGAGGGACTAGTCAATGGCCTCGACCAGACGTCTGTCACCATGGTAACTAAAGCAGACACCCTGTGGTATTAACATTAAGTAGCAGTCAGAGGGACTGGTCACCATATACTAGGATGTGAATGAAGAATATTAATATCAGAATAAAGAGCAGTAGTTTGTAAGGCTAGACTATTTGAAGGTAACATTATACATGTGTTTTTGGTAGTCACTACAAAGCTTTGTAACAAATTTAACTAAAGGAGACATGCATTATGCACACATATCACACAACTTGTCACTGTATACTGTTCTTTCTCAGGTCGCCACACGTTTGTTTGGAAGTGGATTCGAACGCCTACAGTCAACCCCTTCACCACGTGTTGGGAGGCTGACGTGTTCGCCACTAAAGCGGAGAGGGACGCGCACTACCTGGCCACGGTACGAAAGACAATTCTTTAAACAAGAATTCAGAGATCTCATACCTACATGAAGAGCCCTTGTTACTTTTTTTTTTATTTTTCTCAATGATCATGGAGATTATTACATGTAGCATACTCTATTTTACATGCTTAAAATTCTAATATCCTTTGCCTAGGCTTTGTTCTAATTTTGTTCTACACCAGGAGTCCCATATTTGACCTTGACCTTTGCCTTCCTAAGGACTACCCACATACCAAATATGATCACGATCCATGAAAGCCTTAAGTTACTAGTACGCTAACCACACACACACACACACACAAACACCAAAAACAGGTTATACTGTGGCCATTCATTTGTTACTTAAAACCAGGAAAGCACAAATGGATGTGCCTGTTCCTCATTTGAACAGTTTTCTCATCTTTTCACAGGGGCGCACCACTGTTGACATGTGGGATTTCTACGAGATCAACAACATTGTTGACGGAGAGATCGTGGATCCAGTAGATCCTCCCGTGAACGAGATCATCACGGGCTGATCAAGACGTGATCTGGATCATCACGGTGGATCCAGTAATTGACAGTAGCCAGAAACTATTAAAGAACTGTTAAAAGCTCCTTCCTGTGTAATGACCAGTGCTATGAGGAGGGTGTAATGTTATAGTATACATGTATATCTTAAGCTTTGTTGGGCAGATACCACTATTAGCAGGGCATATAAAAATGCAGCAAATAAAAATCCACATGCACCCGGTACATGTATCTATATAACCCAGTACATGGACCATTGTAGGTTTGGTCCAGGTAGACACCAGAAGTATCTGCACAGCTCTGATTTTATCTGTACTAAGGTGCATAAGCACCCAGTATTTTAGAGTCCTGATTAGGTTAAGTCATTGAAGGCTATAGTTAAATACACTAAAACAAGGACTCATAAAAGCACTTTCCGTTATTTCAATCTCAACAATTCTTCTGCACCAGAGAGTCACAATGGCTTGCCTCGAATAAGCAAAGAGAGGGTTGACCAGCTCAAACTCTTGACAACAAACCATACTTTTGACCTGCTTTTCTCATCTGCTCTGGGTTAGGCAAGACCCCATGACTCAGGTCTCTCATTATGCCCACTAAACTGTTGAAATAAACAAAAGTTGACCAAAGTACGAAAATTTAGACAGTATTGACTGGATACCTGTTCCTTCCAGCCCCAAATTATCCAAACTAGACCAAAATTTTCAAAAGAAGATATTAATTCCAGACTACAATCGTGTTCTTGGACCTACACTCTGCATTGCGCAATAGTCAGCCCTCACGCTATAACATATCATGCAACCATTCCACACAGGGTACCACATATGCAGAGTTTTCTATGTTAAGTATTGTGGTAATGTTAATTCTATTTATCCACCCACCTACAACCACTTCATAATGTCAGCACACAAATGAAACAAACACGTGAATGACAGGAATGAAGTAATACTTTAATGACCAAAAGATAGTAAAATGGAAGTTCTTGTTGTAATGCAAGAGTTACACCTAAAAAATCAACTTGGTCCTGCACTCTCAGAGAAACTTACTTAAATACAGTACGAGTCCAAAATATCACCGCTGGCATCACAAAAAATGTAAATTTTCTTCAAAAGGTTTGGGACTTACACACAAAAATCTGGTATTTCTCCCGTTTGGTGATACTACAGTACAACTTGGTATACAGTAACAATATTCCTTATACGAACCCCCTAGCTTGAGTTTTCAGACACCTTTACGTACTGGCATGGTGGTGCCTGAACATCAGAATCAGCATCAAAAGACAAACACAAGAAATGAACCACAAGCCGGGTAGTGTCGGCTCTGTAAACGGTGTTTGTCTCGAACAGCTCTAGTACGGGCGGTCCCTACGGTCTTGTCTCATGTCATCTCTGAAAAACAGCAAAAGTGAACATTAACAATGTGATTATGGAGTACTGTACATTAATTTTGGCCATAACATCACCGAAATACTGGGGTTTTTGGAACATGCAACATGTGATAGCATGTGCCTTTGCGACTACATCTATGTATGGTCTGGAATTGTGCATTTGTAGCTATGTATTTATCTTAAGTTTATATCATATATTTCATACTAAAACAGAAGGGTAGCCCATTCAGCTTGTTGGAGCTGATTTCCAATGGGGCCCAGCATACATGTTCACAGGACAAGACATTATTATGGGTTCACCACACCACGAAGTGGTGTGGTGAAACCATATTGCTTTTTCTGGTGTTTCTTCTTCTTCTCCTCCTTCTTCTTCTCCTGCCATTTTTTAAATGGATTCAGCTTCTTCATTTTAGGGCCTAAGGTCCTGAAATTTGGTATGGAGGTACAGTGGGCAAATACCCCTAGGCGTTTTTTAAATTTTTGTGATACAGGCTTTTAGAATGGTTTTATTTGAGTTTTTTGGCTGTGTTATAGCAAATGTATTACTGTGTTAGTGTGCCATGTTTACCACGTTTGGGTATGAGTCATCACAATGGAATGCAGGGCATCAACCAATAGGCATGCAGCTTTCCTCTATTCTTCTTGCTGATTGGCTGTTGGGATTTAACTTAATTAACACCTGCACAGAGCATTTCCACCTGCACAGAGCATTTCTTGCTGATTGGCTGTTGGGATTTAACTTGATTAACACCTGCACAGAGCATTTCCATACTGACAGTATGTCTGTATTCAAGTGTTTTGGTAGGTATTTCAAGCTTTCCTGCTCCAGCATAGGAATGCGGGGCATGAACGTTATTTTTATTTTGAAAATCAACAGTTTGCATTATGCAATTAAAAATCCTAACCAATAAAGTAGGGAATAGCTATCCAACTGTTGTTTTAGTCGTATGTTACTTCATATTATAGTTATATCAATGTAAATCATTGTTTTCCCTTGTGTTTCTCATTCTTTCCCTGCCATGTCGTAAAATGTGGTGAACCCATCGCTGTATTTGCTCCAAAGCAAATATTGGCCTTTCTAGTTACATAAAACTTTTCTTCAGCTGTTACAAAGTCAATTGAAGAAGACCAGAATGACTGGTAGAAAGCTCTAGGTAAGAACAATTTCAACTTTAGACATACTAGTACATTGTGCAATTACATTTCATCAGGCTCAACAAAGAGTACACAACATTCAGATGAACATAAAATCTGATGCATCAAAAACAAGATCGTTGTCTAATAGATCAATGTATTGAGTTCAGAAGACAGTGCTTACCTCTTCCCCCTGCCTCTGAACCCTCCACCGCCACCACGGTCGCCCCCTCGTCCACCACGGAAACCTCCCCGGTCTCCTCCACGTCCACGGAACCCACCGCGAGGACCGCCGTGGAACCCACCGCCGCCATGGCCGCCATCATCTGTCATAGCAGGGAACAATACATGTTAGCATTACTGGGTACTGCACTTCAGTAGAAGAAAATGATTCATGAATATGATTACTTCTAACAATGATAACACTGTTTTCATACATTCACCATTCTCTTTATTCTTACTCTTAGGCCACACCAATTGAAGCTGTTGATTCTCTAATTTTTCAGAGATCTGCACAGTTTTGTTACCAGCTGTTACAAGCTGTTTGTGACAAGTTGTATAATGTTCAGATAACCCACCTCCCCCTGGCTTGGGTGCCTGGCAGCGGTTGCAGGAGGTTCTCCAGGAGAAGTTGGTGTTACCACACTCCCTACAGACATAGACAAAAGATGGTTACTAACACATTATATGTGTACATTTTTACAGCACGCATGTTGACAGTACTGTCAATGCATATCATACACAAATCTAAGGCTAATCCTCTTTAGAAGTTAATAAACAGTTGTCATTAAGGTCCTAAATAACCCATCCTGAGGCATATTTTGACAATATATTTTGTTTATCTGACATGGATGATTTGTAGGTCTATTTTTATGTTCTGTGATAATTTTTTCATCACTGTCACATTTTGGCACCTAAATTGAACTGTAAAGTTGACGATTTTAACCCCTGAGTGGGGTACAGGCATTAGTAAGAAGGGCCTACTCCGCCTCTTTGGGGACCCCAGGTGGTCCCATGGGGGGACAACAAGAGGCAGCTGGGCCAATCAGGCTACTAGTATCTTGTTTGGATGGTGGGGCATAGCTACAACTTGAAAAGTATGGAAGGGAAAATACAATATTTCTGAATTTGTGTTTGTAATAAATTATACTGGTGTGCAGTTATACAGATATGTGAACAAACATGACAACGCAAGTCCTGTGTAAACTTCATTTTTATTTTCAATGCCACGAACTCTGATCGATCTGACCGACGAACTTACTGTAGATTATTTGCTACTTCTCTGATACAACAAATACTGGTCAATCATAACTTCCGACAAACTTTAAAAAGATCGCACATATTTTGTAACGTTACATACAACCGAGGATAGAATATCGGTGAACTGTGCAGATGTGGGGGCCAAAATATATATATCTTATAAGTCCAAGTTCTGGCAAACGTTATTTACCTAACGTTCACCGATTCACTAAAAATCCCATACCACGTCCGTTCCTGCTTTCCTTTGCGGCTATCTGTCCGGCGGCTTGGCAAATTCTTGTCGATCGTCGAGCCATGTATAGGCTATTTTCCATGCCGAGAGCGTCCATGAAGTCTTGAGGGGTCCGGCGTCAAAAACGAGTTGGCAACTCCAGAAAACCCGGGTAGAGTTCCTCCAAAAGGTCTCAAAATAATCCTGAAGACTTCGCCTATGTTTTAGTACGTAAGATATAGCCCTAAAATCCCTTCTTCCAGTCCAGATCTCGCTCGAAACTGAAAAACATTGAGCGCCTCGGAGACGAGAGTCCGCCATTTTGAATCCAAGCTCGGGCGTCATGTGGCGATTTGGCCTGCCGGCGTGCACGCTGTTGGGCTGTTCTATTTACTGGACGTTTCCCCCCTCTATTTTTCCAAATCGCGCCGCAGTACGCTAAATACAGCGTGCTGACAGGTCAATAACCCATTTTTCGGTGGGAGGGATAGGCGCCCTTGGAATGGCGACAAAAAATTGGCGATTTCGGCGTTTTTGCGGCTTCTACAACGAAAATACGTAACCCCTACTATAGATATATGATTTTTAAGATGAGTTTTGGGTAAAACTGCAAATGGAATAACGGGAAATGGGCATTTTTGGAAAGATTACCCTCTAAGCTAAATCTTTACGTTTGGCCGACTCATGGCGACGCTGTTTAAAGCCGTGAGGGGGGCGGCGTAGGATGTAATCAAAATTATCGGAAAAAAATTCATAAAAAATCAGTATTAACGAATATGAACAAACCCAAACGTAAATTTCTTACTATTATCATTATGAACATTTCCCCTAAATACCGTTAATTTCTACCGCGGCGTTAGGCTGGAAACTCGATTTTTGTAAAAATGGGCGTGTCCCCATAACTATCGATGACGTCATCGTGGCGTCATAAAAATTTGCATAAATTATGCCCTTACAATAACGCACCTTCTACCAAAAATTCAAAGTCCATACTCAACTGCAACTTGCATTTCTAAAAGACCCAAAATGTCCTCAGCCATGGTTATTTAGTACCTTAAAAAGATGATTCGTTGTCTAAAAAGGTCTACATTTTTGTCAGTTTATTTACAGCATATTTCCAGCGGTGATTCAGTAATAACATAATATGAAATGTCAGCATGCCACAGAACAACAGTAAAGCAAACACTCTTACGGGTTAGGGCAACTCCAGTCTCCCTCCCGCTGCTCCATAGATCGACCGCCATCACGTCCACCTCGGCCTGAAACAAACAACCACAAGGTTTCCATGAATACTTTCATCAAGTTGGGAAGTCTTTTTACACAACCAAATGTATTAAAGAGTTAAGCACTTCACATGATTTATTACTGAGGAATTCAACCTACCTCCACCGAAGTCACGTGGTCCTGTAAAAAACAAGAACAGAAGAGACGTGTTATTTCTTCACCTGGTCTAGTTCAACAAACTACTTACTCAAATACATTCATATGCATGGTGAGCAGCCCCTCCAACTCTATTCTGCTACATGGTGTAACCCAACACCACAGGTGTCTGCTACAGCACCAGTTGCCATGGTGACAGACATCTGGTCCATGTCTTTGACCTTCTTTGTTAACAGAAGAAGAAACCGAGTGAAAACCGTAACTTTTCCTTCTGCACTAGTAAAGATAATTTTACCTCCGAAGCCACGACCGCCGCCGCCGCCGCCACCCCGGCCACCGCCGCGCCCAAACGGCCCGCTTCTGGGGCGCATCTGTGCCAGCTCCACCTTGATCTTCTGTCCCAGGAAATCTTTGTCTGTAGGGACAAGAAGTAAAGGATGAAATACACTCATTCAGGAATCAGGAACAATCATTATGGTAGAAGAAAATAATCTCCCTGCTGCCTAATCTTTGTAGTAAAAGTTAAACCAATAGATAACTGGCAGCCAAATGGATACTTCAGTGTGCTAGAGTTTAAACAGATCACAAAGCTGGCCTGACTTATGACACTTCTAAAAAGCTAATATTGACACCGATAATTAGTATAGGCACTGTGTACCGATGTGACAATTGTGTACAGAGCGACACACTCCTGACATAGTCCTGAAACAATACATTCACACTACTGATTCATAAAAAGACATGGCAACAGTTTAGTGGCAGATAACATCTCCAGATTCTGTGTGCTGAAATGACATGTCAGATCGTACCGTTGAACCAGTCGATAGCGGCCCGTGCCGAGTGAGCGTCGTCATACGTAACCGTGGCCTCTCCTTTGGGCGCCCCAGACATCTTGTCTTTGTAGATCCAAATCTTGGGTTTGTGGGTTTTCTTGTCCATCTGGAAATTATCAAGAGCAAACAAATTAAACGTCAATGCTCAAATGGTTCCAACATGCATTATTTGACATGAAAGCCACAGCTTCACGTCCCATCCTAGGGACTGCGACCCTTTGCAGTAGCGTGCATGTTGGGTGAGCGTCAACATTTCAAAGGATCAAACTCCCAACCTCTTAGTCCAGAGGCAGGTGCCTATACCACTATGCATGCTACTGTATTAATCTGACATACTTTTGCACAATTCCATGAAATCTTAACCTTCTTGTACTATAGGAAGTAGAACAGAGTGTATATAGCATTCACAGATGAAACCCAGGCTAACTAAATCTAACTAAACAGTGTAGTTAGTTACCTTGATGATTCCGATGGATCCGAAGTGGCTGGTGAGATGTCCGGCGAGTTCGTCCTCTCTCATGTTGGTGGGAAGATGCTGCACAAAGATGGTGTCCTGCTGGACCTGCATGTCTCCATCTAAAGATGAGGGGAACAGTTTTAATATATGTCAACTGAGTGGTATTCAGTGCAATCAGATGGTGCAGGAAAGAGAAAGTCGGTACAGAAGTGACTGTGAAGATGTGAAAATATCAGTAATTACAATATCTTTAAAGGTTATAAGGAAGACAATGTGCATACCGTTGCCTCGGCCACCATCAGAGCTACCCCCTCCTGTGAAAAATGAACATAACAGTAAGATATCTGCTCACTAATGACTCTTATTCTGCAACACACAGAACAGTTCAATCTATATATAATATGTACAAACTATCACTAATACATGGTGAAAAGTGGCTTCAAAATATGTTTAACTTTAACATGCTACTTGGGAGTTATCCTCTAGTAGGAATCTGAACCTGGTTTTGATACTGGTAACTAAAACTACTACCATGTGCCCATAAAACAAATCTTGGCATATTTTCAATGCAAATACACATCAACCTATTTCATGTGTTAACTGGTTCAACTAAGGATGTGTTCACTGGAGTCTCTTCATACATCTTGTTTAACACCCATGGCCATAGTGTTAGTGATACTATTTTGCAACATCATATGGATGGAATTGTGACAACCAAAAATAAAATTGTACACACTTGACAAACTACAACACCCTTTAAAGTAATGTGAACCTTTGATGCTTTAGGAATACCCCAAACCATGCTTTGTGTTTACATATATGTATTCAGTCACACATTATAGGCACTGGCATTGGCATTATAGCTGAATATTGTTTCGTGAAATCTTGTGGTAACAATCCTCTCCATTTGCTTTTGAGGTTGAACTATTACATGTAATGTAATGTTTAACAATAGTCAACACCCCAAACCATGCTCTGTGTTTATGTAATTCAGTCACACATGTAGCATATTCTGACCCATGTAATCTTATGTCTGAATATTGTTGAGTAAAATCTGTTGGTAACAAATTCTCCATTTGTTTTTGAGGTTTAACTATTACATGTAATGTAAACCTTTGAAATATTTAACAAAACCCCAAACCATGCTGTGTTTATGTATTCAGTCTCACATGTGGCATATTCTGACCCATGTAATCTTATGTCTGAATATTGTTGAGTGAAATCTGTTGGTAACAATCCTCTCCATTTGTTTTTGAGGTTTAACTATTTCATGTGTTTAAATCACCCAGAGTATTATTTATTTAGTTTCCCTGTCAGACACATATCATGCACACAAGCTGAGAAATCAAACAACCATTGATATTTAGACTATCAAAAACACAATCAGAAAGTATGCATGGGCTAATATTTCTCAATAACATTCATAGCATACAGGATCACACCAGGTTTTGTGTAGAAGCAAGGAACAAATTGTTTTAACCAGTTAATGGAAAACACATCAATTTTTCATCCTTGTGGAGATCGTTCATTGTATAAGACTACGAAAAATAAGTTACGTTTTTGTTTAAACCCCTTTTTCGCAGTGTCTGTCAACCATACAGATTCTATTTAGTTCTTGAACTATGCAACACACTCATAGTCATGTTGATCATAAGTAATATCTGTACATACTATGTCTTGTTCACATAGAGAGAGAGAGAGAGAGAGAGAGAAATTTGTGTCTGCAACCTATATGAACCCCACTATGACACAATTGCTTTTAAAAATATTGGTTAAATTATTTTATTAACTTCTTGGTAACTGCTTAGGTTTAGTTCAATAGAACACTTTGACTACTTTAAACCCTGGGTGGGATGCCCCATATGGGGTTTGGCCTAGTACGAAATAAACGTACATATATGGTCGACCAGTATTATACACTGTTGTTTTCTTCACACCTGTTTAAGAAAACTTGACTCTTGCTACCCCAACACACAGAAGTGCATTGCAACCACAGCCTTTGGTTATTTTTGTGTACCTTCTTTTGTAATTGCAATATTTACTGTCTTTTGAATTGTAGATGAAATTGACTTTGGCTGTCCTGATTAAATGCACTTTTAGCCACCTTACTGCTTTGGAAGTGTTGACATAGCACCCCAAACTGCACACATCTGTATTATGATACTAGTAACAGCCACTTTCATACAAACAGCTTTGGATGAATTTCTGAACACTGCAGCTTCCAGTGTAGTTTGACACAAACACGCAAAAACAGTCATTCAAGTTGAACTTGTTTAACATTTGTAGAGAACCATTGATGACAACAGTCAATACTTATGTAAATTTATCTTTACCACTTTGGCAAGTGGTCATATGAACTTTAGTTTAAAAAATCCTTCAGGAAGAGAAAGACCCCCTTGTATGCTTATATGTAAAAAAATGTAAGTTGTATTTCTAAATCTGAAGCATGTCTAATGTTAGTACACACAAACTATACCCCTTGTTGGCTTTGAAACCTTGCAGGAAAATACCAGTGTACCCTTATCAAATATCAGGGTGGCTGAGAAAAAAACATACATGGTAACTGCTAAGTCATGAGCTTCTTCTTTTCCAATTCAACATTAAATAGCAGTTTTTGGGGCATCTCATTCTACCACTTAACTGAACATTGAATAAATGGTTAATGGTAGAAAGTAGTGAAAGAATCTATGGTCTACTACCAGAACACTTTACCTTTGGTCTAACAGCAGACTACTTTGACTGTTATAACTTATATGTAAACACCTTTTCATCAGAGTTCTAACATATACCCGCTGACATTCTTATGTGGGATCACATTACCAAGTGATTCACAATAGGACATCAGTTACTTTTCATTTCTTTATCAGGAACATCTTTCCTCCTTTCAATGGCTACAAATCTGTAGATCCTTCACACCCCTAACATTGCTGTCAAATGGTTGTTTTTAACTGAACGTGTATTATTTTAAAACTTTTATTTGTCAACTTTATCTAATGCTTTGCAGCACTGGTTTTGTTCTTGGAAAAGTGCATTTATGAGGTTCAAAGTCTCCTTGTCATTCTAACAAGGTCCATCCTATGTCTTTGGTTGCAAAGTCTTTGGATGGAAAAGTTGTACCCCAGCACTTAACCTATACATTGCCATGGACACCTTTAACAATTAGCCAACAGCTGGGATTCATTCGGCATTATTTGCAGCTGAAGAGTTAGTTTGTGTCAAATTCTGTAGCCATGTTGCATGTCAAATACACCAAAAACTAAAACTATTCACTTCACTGTACCCCTATCCATGTTAACCTATTATCAAAACCCATGTCACTTATAATTAAACCAGCTTTGAAAACCCCTGAGCAATAAAGCTGTTGCTGAATGAACCACACACATATTTTTCAGTTTATCCTAGCACAACTGAAGTTAAAGTAAATGTAACCAAGTCCTTTCACATGTATGAACCCATGCGTCAGTTACACAAGTTAAATTTGGTGTTGAGCCCCATGTGGTGTTGAAAAGTTTATTATTATCATTATAATTGTTTATAATTATTATAAATATCATGAACACTTTGTGCACTGAAAATCATTAATACAACAACTGCACAGAGTAAACTGCACACATATCTCAAACCATTATTTTGCATCCCTCTTTGGGTCTTCACGTGGCTTTAAAATGAATTCTAAATGTAAAAGATGTCATCTATTGATAGAGGTATTACTTAGTATTTGGGAACTTGGGAACTATTTGGCTACATATATCAAGTGTTACAGTTTACACTGACATTTAGATCATACCCATCAGTTATTTGTTTGATTTCTTGACTTATAACACACACTCAGACCTGTAGTTGAGCATTCATACAAGATACACATTGTAGCTTTGGCACATAAAATGTAACCCGTAACTTTTTAAGTTTTAGTTCGTATTATACCATTGCTGCATTTAATTGAACATAACATTAACCCCTGATTTTGGTTCTCACTACATGTACTTAGATACCCATATGCAATGTGCAATGCAAAACACCTGTAAGTGTAGTTTGAGTCTAAACTAATCCACCATTTTATGTTTATAGTATTGTTTGTGTGGTCAACACTTCTCAAAAACCCATGTAAAATTGCTTGTTATGGTACCAATCTACCTACCAGTATCTAAAATGGAATAAAAGTAAGGTGTGATATCACAACATATAATATTTCATCTTTCAACACAGTTCAAGGTAACTTTCTTTTTTTTCTGTTGTTTAACACTTTCGCGATTACCCATATTATGATCGTTATTCCATTTCTTTACTACATTCCCAATTCATAACCATAACTTTTCCCAACATTTTTTCCCATCGGTTATGAAGAAACAATGACCAACCCACATTGCCTTCACATCAGCACAATGAAGATGGGATAATCTTTTTGACAGAACTGTTGACAATTATTATACACGCAGCACTTACCGTAACCACCTTTAAATCCCCCGCGATCGCCGTATCCGCCGCGGTCGCTACAGAATAGGTGAAACGATCAGGTTGAACCCATGACATTGGACACCAGTGTCCGTTACCATGAACAGATCATCAGAAGAAGGCAGAAGTTTGCTGTAATGTCTCTCCTTGTGTCAGGGGTGCCCAAAGCACCCAAACCGTCACCTTTATACTTGATAAGGGAGAAATCTGACAGAACCCAACACTAGGGTGGCATCATGAATAGCATCATTCATAAACACTGCAACCACAAATAGTAACAAGGTCAACATCATCTACAGTACTAGTATAATACCATTGCTATATGCACTAAGAATATGCATACACTAAAATGTGGTAAAATTCTTGGGCAGTTAGGATAAGAATAGCTTACATTCTAGAGCTTTTTTTTATCCACTTTCTACACTTTATGCATCTGAAATGGTTACTAACAAGGTACTCCAGATAGGAGTTCAGACAATGCTAGCACATGGTCATGGTTTACATGAGTAACTGACTCAACAACCAGTCATTTGTTGTAGGTATTTATTTCCAAAAATCCCTGGCACATTTGATGACAACTAGGGCTTTTGTGTAGTGCCTGGTAACAGCTACTATGTGCCAAGGTACAAAATTGCATCTGATAGTCCAGCAACTCTTTTCTTCCACTCCAACGCTGGAGCCTTTTATAAAGTGATCCAAGCTCCCGTTCCTTGTAACATGGCAGGTGTTCTCACTGGAGGAGGCCCCAAAACAGTCATCCTACGAGTGGAATATCCTCACTCCATCAGTCATGAGTTCAGCCAGCTGCAGTGACCACATGTTGTCCACTTCTGCAAGTCAGATTCCCTGTGCTTCTGCTAATTTAATCAACTTTAGGATGTCTGACCTTCTTTGCTGTACTTTAGAATGTTGTTGTCAACTTTCAGGTTGCAACCATCTGTGAGGTCTGTTTAAGGTGTTACTAATTTTATACCCCACTTCTATTCACAGGTTTCCCACTTGTTGTAATCCCTTTGTTTTTGTAAGAGCCCTAGTTATGTACCCTCCTATATTATCTACATTTTTAACTCACTGCAATAATGAACAAAATGCAAGTTGCCATGGCACATTAATAATTGAGTACTTTCTATAATAATTTAGTAACTTTCTATCAGTATCATCACCTTTTTATATGACAGCAGACAGTGCACAGACAGAGGTATGCACTGCGGTGTGCACATGATTTTTAACCTGATCGACATACCAGGATGTACCAAGTTTGGTGAATGGACGAAGCCCTTCTTTGAGATGACCCACAGGCCATCATCTATCATCAGCATTATGAATGCAAACTAGTGAAACGTTGGATGGCATACTTGGTATACAGCTGGATACTTGTGTACACAGCTGGGTAAACACATTCTACAGGTATGTGTTCTCCAGGTTAAAGCTCCTTTTCAAGTGTTTTTGAAGCTGGATTGTCGCATAAGCCTTGTCTTATGACAATAGGACTGTTCTTCAACCACAAGTCCCAAATTGTTATGAAGTCTAGTAAGGCTTCATTACTGATTTGTCTATATTACTTTATTATCACCCTTAGTATATTCTAGAAAATGTATCTTAGAGTTAGAGCTAAGTACCACTTTCCACAATTTTCCATGGCATAACTTTCACCGAGACCTGCTGTCCTCACACTCTTCTGTAGAGTCGATGCAAAATCATGTAGTCCATGGATTATATGCATTTCTAATTGTTTTGTTGCTTAAAATTAACAAGTATCTTGCACGTATATCGGCCATACTGAAAAGTAGGACAGATTTTATGACAATTTTTGTTATTCTTGAGTTCGATTATACCTTGTAACACCGAACATTTTTAATTGAAATTTCCCACATGTACATGAAATCACACATTGACAGTGTCAATGACACAACAACATGTGGTCGGGTTGAGTGCAAGTGAAACCATGTGGTAGTTACTAAGAAACTGGATTGTGCATATAATTAAGTAGCTATTAACTATAATGACATTTCTTGTTTAAAACTAGTCTGGTCGAGGTGTCAGTCTTCAGTTTGCAGTGCAGGAACCAGTATTATGTCTAAAGTGTTGATACGGGTAACTGTTCTATAGCCCATAGTCCAAGGGCAAACCATCAACAACTTTGTAGTCAGAGAAAAGGTCAACAATCATTCTACACCATTATCAACTACGCTGAAGGAATACTTTTATCTGGAAAAACTGCTCCAGGCTTTTCTCTTCCACTCAAGGTTCACTGGACCAGATTAGAATCCCTCCAACTTTAACAGGCTGTTCCTCCCTCTGTGCTTTCAATCCGTCCAGTGACACCAGTTCAGCTTATCCTAACATCACGCATGTGATCACCTTTTATCCGGTCAGATGGCAAGATGGTCTTGTGGTTAGGGTTGTTGTCTTAGAATCCGAAGGTTCTGGGTTTGAATCCCTGGCAGGCACTTAACACCTACTTCTTCAATCGACACAATCTTCAATCAAACAAGTCCTGTGTTTAAGGTCAGCCACACCTCAAGCACGTTAAAGATCCTACCACACTTATTGAAAAAAGCAGGTGAGTGGTTCAAACCTTACAGTCTGGTCTCAGGTGTGACATCTTTGAAGAGGTGATAATCACCTGTTGTGTCAACTCTTCCACAAACGTTGTAAATTTTCATAAATCCAGTCTGTGTCTTTTATAACATTGACCTTGCTATGTGCGCTTCCTCTTACTGTTCTTTGCTCCGTATCGGACATAGATATTATCTTGAGGTTCTTCTTTTTTGCCCACTTGGGGCACACTTGCAGTTTGCATAATACTGCAAGGACCATGTCCTTGGCAAACACTTTTCAGGACCATAACTATGTCTTCTTCTTGACCTTGTATGCAGATCTTGAACCTTCTTCATTTGCACATCTGCTGCTATGAGAATTCTACAGTTTTATCTGAATTAATATGCAAGACATACTTGCAAGTAGGCATGTGTTTGAACAAACTAGTATAAGTGACTAAAACTATCACTTGTTCTCTTTCTTCACTTTCTGGCAATGCTGAAATGAGGACATCCATTGTACATGTATATAGTAAACCAAAAAAGTGTTGCATTCTCATCTTCATGACGACAGTTTTGTCATCCTACAGGAAAATATGTTAGTTTTCCTGCTGTTGTATCTGTGTAGGTTGAATTAAGACCCTTTGTGTTGAATCCTTGGAACCATACGGAAGAAAGAAAACCTTCTTGGTTGATGGTTTAGAGATGTTTAAAGGGCAGTGCCTTTGTGCTTTTGTGATCATTCTCAGTATTGGGTTACATAATTATAAGTAGCAGAAGCAACCCTACCACTTATTCATAATTATAAGCACAATAAAACTATTGAAGGATCCTGGTAAGAGTAACAATAAAACATACTAATAATAGAATGAGCTTGCTGTCCAGAACACTACAGTTAACTCCTGATCTATGGAAAGACATGATTGAAAACCTACCCGCCGTAGCCGCCACCTCGTCCACCCCCACGGCCACCCCCACCACGGCCTCTTCCACGGTCCTCGTAACCCCCTGAACGTCCTCCGTAGCCGCCGCCGCCATAACTTCCACCTCCTGTATGAAAGATGCCTCATTAATACTGTAATTTAATGTGTTCATGGTAGCAGAATTTCAAGGTCTGAGAAAAATGGACATGCTCACAGAAATAATGTTCACAGTAACAGCAGGTGTAGGAAAGTCAAGAAATTATTTGTTAACAGTATTAAGTTGTTCACAATACAGAGGTGATCGTGTAAGGTAAACCGTCAACAAGAAAGGACTGTGACAAAATCTGGAATTACAGTATCTAACAGTTTATATTCAACATAGCGGGAATGCCCATTTCTTGAGAACTGTACTTGTGCATCACGCTGTAGTTGTGGCATAAGGCAATGCATGATTTTGAGAAGTAGCAGAACCTGAAGTACCTTGGTCGAACCCAGACCCATTACTGCCCCCGCGCGAGCCGCCACCGCCACCGTAGCCCCCGGTCGGAGCGCTGCTATAACCGCCCCCGCCGGTGGACCCCGTCACGCCGCCATACCCACCACCTCCACCGCCGCCACCCGTGGACGAGGGGGGCTCACGCTGGCCGCCGTAGCCCGTACTGGGCGCAGAGTCTGGTGCACTCTGGGAACCGTAGCTGCCGCCGTATCCGGTCTGCTGCTGACCACCGGCACCGTACGAGCTCTGGCCACCTACAAAACAACCATTTCAACATATCACTCACCTAACTTTCCTACCATTCCCTAACTCGCTTTGACTACACCACAATGATGACAAACAACTATTCATCATCTTATACATTGCCCTCAACTAGACTCGTGGAAAAGAAGATTGCCCAAACCGGACATTTCCAATTTGCTGATCCATCTAAGAATCGTCCACAGTGCAACCTTTGTTACTTTAGTGATTCCAGGACTGATCCAAAACCAACCGCGTTGACATCTTGGATATAGCAGGGAATGTTTGGTACTGCCGTTAGGACACCTTGACATCGGAGGGCTTGCGGTAATGGTCCCTCAAGTTTCGGTTATCATGCTACATTCTCGAGGGCGATGTATAAGACAGTCAGCAATACTCCCGATTCTAGAGTCACCACAGCTAAACCATTCATAACATCACCACAACAACTATAATTAATTAACTACCTTGTCCAGCACTCTGCCCATAGCCTGTTCCAGCCCCCGTGCTACTGTATCCAGAGCTCCCAGTGTAAGTAGTGCTGCCCTGGGTTTGCCCATAGGACCCTGCAGTCGAGTAGCTGCCCTGGGACTGAGACTGGCCATACCCTCCCATCTGCTGTTGTGAAGACTGGTCATAGCTGCCATACCCTCCAGTACCTTTAAGTTTAACAACAACACACACTACTTTAGCTTTAGGCTAAACTTCTTCAAATCTAGGTTAGAGGTTCATACTTACTTTTCGGATACTGATAAACTAAACTTTAAAAAGTCAATCATGAAAGCAGTACTGCCATGAAAGTTATCTACATTGGTAGTTACATGACATTGTTTTAAGTTAAAATTTTTGTTCCAATCAGGGCCCTTCACCCAACCGCAATGGGGATCAACAATGTTTAATAGATACCTTTGACCCAATCAGAATAAGCGTCGACGCTACGCTTCGGAGAAGCCATGTATTGTAACAAGTTTCACTGGGTCAGTCTACTGAACAAAAGCTCTATAAATGCAATTCCTTGTGTTGGAACAAAAGTTTTAACTTAATTATACAAAATACTGTAACACAAACAACTTGGTATTGTCTGTTACATTATCCAATGTTTCAGAAATGATTCTGTTCAATAACTAAGTTCGAGAAAAGCTGTTAGTGTACCTGACTGCTGTGAGTATGGTGCAGTCTGTGCTGCTGGTTGTTGTGAACCATAGGATGTCTGACTCTGCTGTCCGTAGCTGGAGTAACTGTCGGTACCTCCAGTGGAACTTCCGTAGGAGCCATAACCTCCTCCACCACCTGCTGCTGGCTGCTGGGGCTGCTGACCATACGCCTGAAGTACACAACATCATGGTTAATTCTGTTTCCTGCTCAGTGAATGCAAGACACATCAGGCTTCCCACCAGCATTTTTTCATGTGGGGGTCAGGTAGTGACCACAGAAGGGGGTCTGGTATGGTATTCTTACCTGGTTACCAAAAATGTAAAAACTCATAACTTCCAGAATGTTAGGGGACAATTTTGTAAAGATATGTTTTATTTCTGTTAAACTAGCTTCAGTCTTAAGTCAAGACAAAGATGCAAGATCGAAAATATCCAGCGTCGAGCAACAAAGATTATTCTGGGCAAGAACTTTACCAACTACTCGTCAGCCTTGAAAGTGCTGAAACTCCAAACACTTGAAGACCGAAGAGTCGCTCTGTGTGCTAAGTTCGCCAAGAAGGTATACAACTCCGATCTGTACAGTCACTGGTTGCCAGAACATAGAGGTAACATTAGCGGCAGGGTGACCAGACAGAACAGAAAGATTGACCAGTTGCCAGCAAGAACCGACCGTTATAGAAAGAGCTCCATCCCATACTTTGTCACACTGTTGAACAACTCTGTATAGTAGGGTATCCGTAGAGTCCTTTTGTGCCTACAGGTTGAATTCATTGTCCTTGCATTTAGTGTTATTGTATATACTTTACTAGTTTTTAAAAGTAAATAAGCTAGGGTTTTAAACAGTTGTGGCATCATGATTTTAATAAGTAATATGTAATATGTGCACGCAATTCAGCCTGTGGCTGCGATGTGAAACATACCAATTGTACTGTTTATTGTATTTGTGAAATAAACCAATGTATAAGTCAAATTTTAATTTTTCAAACATTTATAAACAGGGTTCTCCTAAAAAGAAACCTTGAACAGGGACATCAGGGATGAAACACCCCTATGCTGGTTGTAAGACAGTGTAGGGGCTAAATCACAGGATACAGGGTTCAAATCAAAAAGAGTAGGGGCTCAAATTTTTAACTTAAAAGCCTCATGAGAACCCAGCTGTGTAGAGATAATTATTTTATTATCAACAGGTAATATTTCATCCTTAGGACTCTTTTACAATAGTTCAACTACTGCATTAGCCCATGGGGGCAAGAACATTCAAATACAGTACATCCATAATGGCACTCTAGCAAGGAATGGATATAACTTGTCTTCTCATACTGACTGCCTGGGAAAGAGTACCAATTGACCTGGATCATGTGAATATTGGGTAAATAATACAGGTCTAGCATTGGAGGCCATGGTGTATAGGTTGATTGTTTGTCTTCTTTACTCAACACAATGGAAAGTTTCTTGCATGCCAGCTTTTGTGCACCATGATTTTGAACACATTTCAATTGCCATAATCACCTGCTGCCCACTCTGTGCAGTTTGTCCATAGCCTGCTGAGCCTCCATAGCTGTAACTAGGGGGAAAAGGAGAAATATGTTAAATTCACAAATGTTAGTTTAGACAATATAATGTTATGTAATGTTACAAGTAGACAGAAATTTATTTGTGTCCATTCTTACTATCTTAGCTTTTCGTAACGATGCACAACTTGCACATTATTGTCATAGAACGTTTTTTTTTTAGAACCATATGAATGTAGCCTCCGTGACATCCTCTTTTCGGTATTTCCCTTACTTCCCAACTCCCAATAACCAACTGGTTTGCACGTTTGTGGATCACATTCAGACTATACCAACATGTTCTTATCTAGGTGTGATGTAGTAAAAAAAGATCCTTACTTGGGATGGGAGCCGGAGCCTCCACCATAACTACCGTAACCTGTAGAACAAAGAAGTTTTGAAAATAAAATTTACATCTTTGTGAACACTGTGAGAAAAATCGAGACAAAAGTGGCATCAAATCCATACATAATTTACCCCCCCCCCCCCCATTTCAGCTTTAGTTCAGCCCGCTAATTTACTACCCACGCTGTCAAGAGTCGAGGTCAAATTAAAAATGAGTCGAAGCTATAATATTAATAAGCCCCTGGGCTAGATTTTGCTCTTGTGCTTGTACTTTCAGCCGTGTTATAGCTCTTTTTCGGGGGCGCACAGTGGTTTTCGGAGGAAAACGAAGAACAAAAGCCCACGGCCACTTCAAACCCAAACCCACGCCGCCATCTTGCAGTAAATTTTCAGTCCCGATCTTTTGTTTCTCCCGTTTGTGAGGCAAAATGATGAACTTTCCGAAGTACATTGTTATCCAGACCTGTATCGAGCAATCATGGGCATTTGTAACCTCGAAAATATCCATTTTTTAGCCAAAGATCACCCGAAAATTATTTGCAACGCGGCACACATGTGAACGCTATGTATAGCGTGGGTTTCACCGGGTGTGGCTATATTAGTATATAGCTTCTTCTCCACACCAGATTCGCAAACTAACCCATCTAAAACAACCACACGCGCCCACTACACTATCTAAAATAATTTCTGACCGGTTAAGTCGCAAAAACTACGATTAATTTCAATTCTAGCGCTGTTTTTCTTACCTTGATCTGCAGAAGACGCCATGGCTGATCCAAATGATGAGCTGGTCTGGTCACGTGACAGGAAAGGCGCAATTTAGCAATCTCGCGAGATTTGCCGAGAGTGGATACGACAAGAGTCTCCAAGCAGATGTCTGGTGGCAAAATCGTTACGGTTAGAAATTAGAATTGGCCATCTAGAGTACCCAGACGCCTATAGACGTGGCTACAAGAAGTTGGACTGCAATGCACTTTGCAGAAGATATTTCGAAAACATTTTTTTTTTCAAATTGACACCCCTGGCTTTTTCTTCAGAGTAGTCCACAATGTTTACCCCCTAGCTTTATCTTTCAAAATTTTCGCACGGATTGAAGGAGGAAAAAAGCAATCTACAGACGATATATAAAGTTAGTAGTTTGAACATTAACCTTAATTTCCTGAAGGAAACACTGAGGGGATCACTATCGGCGCAGTAGGCCCGCGTACGTAACTGAAGTCGAGATCAAGCTAGTACAAACTTGGTGTGTTTGCGGTTTAGTCGCGTCTCCTGCGACGGCCCGGGCCAGGGGTTCAGTCGGACATCCTTTACAAACGTAACCTTTATAAACTTGACTTAACAAACCTGATGTTACATAATTCTTCTGTCAACATTTGCTGCCTGTTGTGTGATAAAACATCCGGGCACGTGCGAGGCCCTCCTGTTCTTCCCATCCTACCATCGCATATGTGACAGAAAAACTAATCTGCAGGTGACACATGAATAGTTTGTACATTAACGTTAATGTTACTGGGGGGGGGGCGATCATTATGAGCACATATATATGTATACGCATACGTAACTGAAGTCAAGCTCAAGTAATCTTGGAGTTTTTGCTGTTTAGGTGCGTTCTGTGTGACGGCCCGGGTGTCGGGTGACATCCTTTACAAACTTAACCTTTACAAACTGACTTTACAAACCTGATATTATATATAGTAATTGTTCACGGTGTCAACATTTGCTATCTGTTGTGTGATAAAACATCCGGGCGCGTGCGAGGCCCTCCTGTTAATTCTTCCCATCCGACCATAGCAAAGATAAGGATACAAATATAAGTAACACTTTGCACAAGAGGTGTGTGCACAACGAACGAGAGTTGGCAGCGGTGAGCAGCTTTGCGTCCTGCCGAAAATGAAGCTCTTCGTCGCGCTCTTGGCTGTCGGGCTGCCTGCCCTGGCCGCCGCCCACTCCTGGATCGTCTGTACGGACTACCTGGAGAACAACGGCTGGTACTGGGATGCTGCCAAGTGTCGGGCCTGGCCAAGAAATGCCAAGAGGTATCGATGATAACAGATTTTTGTGCACGTGGCTTTATGTTCTCTACTTTAACACGCATGTGGGTTCTAATAACTTAAGCTAAATTGCATCAAATTCGTCAAGTAATACCTCTTACATTACAAGGCTCGAAATTCTGGGTGCAGATGCATCTTAGTGCAGGTAAAATTGGAGCTGTGCAGGTATTTCTGATGTCTACCTGCTTGCAGTGGTAGATGTATGTTGAGTTTCATTTGCAGTACTGACTGTTATCATCCATGAGGAATAAAAGAAATGCTGACACAGATTTTGTAACAATGTTTTTTCAGTATGATCCACAATTCTCAAAGTTTGAGAGGTGCAGCTAAATTTATCTGGTGAACCCTAGTAATTTTCAATGTCATCTGCACCAGTGCATGTATGTACGAGTAGAAAAAAGTATTTCGAGCCCTGTACATCCTTGGTTTCAGGTACGACCTTCGTGACAGAGTGTTCGGGACGTCGGGTGGCTTTCTGCATCGTCTGGACGACCATCCCGAGATAAAACCACTGTGTAGAGACCCGAGAGACGACGCGACCAGTTACGAGCTACCCATGGCGGCCTACTACCTGGGACAGACGGTCGTCCTCACGCACCCTATAAACGTAAGTCACACGCGCTAGAGACCGCTCCAAGGTGTTTTGTATCCATTGCTATATTGCGTTTAATTTTTTTTCCTGGAAAGCATTACTGCAAGTTCTATTTATTGAGAATTAATTGGAGTGACCCAGTGGAGTGGACGTCTCGACACTTGTTAGACAAGACAAGCCCATGCGTTTTAGCCTGAAAACTGGAACAACCCCAAAATACCTAAACAACAGGAAAAAAGAACGTGCATCACCTGCAGCCTAATAGCAAAACGTATACCGAGTCCAAAAAAAGCGTCCACCCCACCGCGAGAACCAGCTGCGAACATGGAAACCGCCAACTCTTATAATGCCCTTCCGCGGAAGGATATCTCCTTCCCCGGAGGTAACAATAGCACGATAGCTATATGCCCAGAGTTAGGGGACTAACAGAGGCATATTGGTCCTGGAGCCCGGGAACTGTCTAGGCCCTGGAAACAGTCTGGCACCCAGGATAATGCCTTTAGGTGTGCATTAATAGATAAATAAAGATGAGAAATGTTATAGGGAATTTGAAATGCCTTTATGATACCTTACTTTACTTCTGCCTTGAATCCTGAAAGAACGTGCTAAATTTATCATTACATAGAACCACGCCAACGACGCTACATGTAACATAAGAAGCCGTCCGGACACAGAGAACCTGATGTTTGTAGTGGACGGAGACGAGGACCCCTGCTGTATCGACTCGGACAAACTCATCCAAATTTTCGATATGGGAGTGTCTCCTTATGGTCTGTATCTAGTCCTTATTTGATCTTACATGTATTTGACTAAGTACTGTTGTGTTACTGAGACTCAATACTGTTGTAGACAGCACTTAACGCTTGTGCAACAATACCATTTAGCCCATACTAGGCTTATGAAAGCGACTGGAAATAGTAGAAATTTTGCCAAATTTTGTTGGTCCGCTAAAATTTGCAGCCTTCCGGAATATTTTTACTCTGGCTAGCTACCATTCTCTACCCGAGGAAACGTGTGTAGCTAACTTCAAACGTTTTTTTTTTTTGTAAATGACAATATTGCCATTTCTTTTGCGTCAATTAGTTTTTTTCTACCTTTTTTTTTTCAAATAATCCACAGGCCCTGACAAATATAGCGATGAAGAGCTTAGCACATTTCCAAAGGTCGGCTACCAGAACGCGCCCAAGTTCTGTGAGGATCCTGAAGACGCCATGGGGACCTACAACTTCACCATTCCTATGGATCTAAAACCAGGTGAGACAACCAGTGTGTGTGTGTTCTATACTACATAATGTTAAACATAAAAAAAGTTGACGTTTTCTTGATTCTCACGAAGAACTAAGATAAAGCCGTCAGTTATGGGTGAACCAATAGTGAAGAAGCTAGAAGAAAGTTTATTGCAAGTTCCTGCCCGTGCTAGTTGCAAGTACAACTAGAGTTCCCCGATCTCATACCTTCGCCAAATGATGTTAATCTTTATGACTGACAAATTATAGATTAGATTATTCCCCCCTGATTTAAGAAATAGGAACCTAATTTTCATGAATTATATCATTTTATAATAATCTCAACCAAAAAACAGTCTTATATTAACAAACAATGCATTCTAGCATTTCCTAATGAATTATGAAAATGAGGTCCTGATTTGAATAAATTATGTTTAATGATGTTCACCTCAATTTAACTTTCAAATACCACAAGTATGAAATTCCAGGCAGTTATCATTACATAATTATAAAATTTTCTCATTAATTATGCAAATTAAGTCATTATTAACATAATCAATATCTTCCTGTGTTTCTCTCGTTGTCAATTACCAATGTCACAAGCTTTAATTGTCCTATTATTGAATGCAGCTGATTTATAGAATTTCTCCATAAATTATGCAAATTACATCAATATTTGCATAATTGTCACATACTTATATTAAGCATCACGTAAGCTACCTACATACCAAAAATCACGACGATCCGTCAACCGGTTCTTGAGTTATCCCCTTTTGAATATTTTCAAGAATTTATCCCTGCAGTTCCAGAGCAAGCCGCTAGGGGGCCTAAACTCACGTCACTTCTTCCCCAGCACAAGAGCTACCTACCATCTAAATTTCATCACCATAGCATGTCTAGATCATGAGATATCAAAACCGGAAGTTCAGCTGCAGTACCATAACAAGCCGCTAGGGGGTCCAAAATCTAATCACTTTGAGGTCTCATCAAGATCTACCTACCTACCAAGTATCAAGACAATCCATCAAGGCCTTCTTAAGTTATAGTGTTGACAGACAGACAGACAGACACACACACACACACACACATACACGAACGCCCCTGAAAACATAACCTTCTTGGCGAAGGTAATTACATGTACATGTTCATGTTACATGTAAGTAAAGAATGGACAATGGATAACAATGTGTGACTTCTTTAACTACTAAACACTAAATTCTAACATATTGGGTTTGACTTCTTTTACCGAAACAGTGGAAGACGAATTGATCCCACTTTTTCTACAATGTGTGGGTTTTGTGATGTTAAGAGGAGAGTAGTTTTATTTTTGTCTGTAGACGTGGAGACTTTAGGATAGAATTTGTTGGCCTCTTCAAACAGGTCCTTTTCTTTCGTGATCGTATGGTAGGGCGGTCTCAAGTAGCTATTATTTTTTTCCAGGTCGCCACACGTTCGTCTGGAAGTGGATCCGTGTTCCTTCCGTCATGCCCTTCACCACGTGTTGGGAGGCTGACGTGTTCGCCACCAAGGCCGAGAGAGATGCGCAGTACCAGGCCACGGTAAGAGCTGATATCACAAAACATACTGCAATGTCGTTGTTTTTGTTTTTCAAGAAATGCCTAATAAAATGCCCGTTTTCCTTTCTTTCTTTCTTTCTTTCTTTCTTTCTTTCTTTCTTTCTTTCTTTCTTTCTTTCTTTCTTTCTTTCTTTCTTTCTTTCTTTCTTTCCTTCTTTCTCTCTCTTTCACTCTCTCTCTCTTTCTTTATCTTCATTCTTAAGAAGATGCAGTATCTATCTTCATTAGCATAGTAACGTTTTATTCTGATTGACATAACGTGACATGTATTTTCCAGGGCCGGACTACCGAGGACATGTGGGACTTCTATCAAGTCAACAACATCGTGGACGGAGTGATCGTGGATCCTGTCGTGGATCCGATCATCTCTGGCTGAACAAAAACACAAGGGTTGTTAAGAAATAAAAGTTTCAGAGACGTCAAAATCTTTCTGTGTTGTCATCACTTTTAGTATAAGACCTTGGAAGTTATGTTCGCGTCAAAGTATGAATTATGTGAGGAGCATGACATGATAAGTTGGAAATCATTGAAATGTAGTGGCCCAATAAACGTATTTCATCCCAAAGAGCACTAGGGAAGTGTGTCGGTTTGTTGCCACACCACAAAGTCGAGAGTTCGAATCCCGTACGTAGATTTCGCGCTCACGGCTGGGAGGGGTTTGAGTCCGTCCGACCGGACGCTGAACCGGAGATGCCGTGTCGTACGACCGGTGCGAGGGGGTCAGCTCAATCGGTCCGGATACGTTTATCGCTATCCGTCATTTCTCCTTCATTTCGTTCATTTGAGGCGCGCTATTTCGCACTTTCTGTACACCAAAGCATGTGGGCGCCGTACATGTAGTCCCTTAACCGTAGTGTACCTGTAGGGGGAGACTTTTACATGAAATGTGCTGGCATATATGATGTTGCTCCTCCCCGTACGGATTAAGCCGTCAGTCGAAACAATGTTTGGTTTAGGCAAGGGCATTACTACTAGAGTATACATCATGTCCTTGGTTAAGGCGTCTTTTGCGGACATCCTTTACAAAACTGTCAACATTAATATTTGAAGCCTGTTAACGTTATGTACACAAATACGCCAGCTGTGAAGCCTTCCCGTTGTTCACATCCTGTCATAACAAAGATAGGCGTACATATAAAACAACACTTTGCACAGGCGACAAGAAAGAGTTGGCAGTTGTGAGCAGCTTTGCGTCCTGCCGAAAATGAAGCTCTTCGTCGCGCTCTTGGCTGTCGGGCTGCCTGCCCTGGCCGCCGCCCACTCCTGGATCGTCTGTACGGACTACCTGGAGAACAACGGCTGGTACTGGAACGAAGCCAAGTGTCGGGCCTGGCCAAGAAATGCCGGACAGTGAGTTTTCTCTACTTTTAGAGAGACAGAGCCATGCATCTAAAGTGATAGATTTGATACCTGTCTGTTCTAGGAGTAGAAGTGACTATATAACATTATGTCAGAAAAAATCTGTAGTATCTATAAGTTGTCTGTTGATGTACGATTTCGCAAAAAGGACTGTTTAAAGTTTTTTTGCAGATACATGTAGGTTATACAAATGTCAGCATTGTTTGGATCAGTGTAACAAGTCGTTCGGCGTGATATATCTAGCTGCCGCCGCGCCGCGTGCCTGCGAAGCTGGTGTGTTACGCCGAAGGGCGGTTATACTGGCTATACTAATACAGATACAGATTGTGTGCGACTAGGTATTTTTCACACATCTTTCGGCGAAACTTGGCTGGCAAATATTGGCCAGCGTAGTTAGTCTGGGTAGAGACTACGAAACGCCGCTGCCACACAAGTCTGCGAAGGCGGCGAATAGCTACTTTCAATTGTCTAGGCTCTAGTATGGACGTTGAGGAGAGTATCACGATATAGTCACGACGTTTCCCGTTCCAGGTACAACCTCCGGTACCGCCAGTTCGGGACCGGCGGGTCGTTCGTCCACCGTCTGGACAACCACCCGGAGGAACTGCCGCTCTGTAACGACCCCAGAGACGACGCCAACAGCTACAACGACGTCCACCCCATGGCGGCGTACTACCTGGGGCAGACGGTCGTCCTCACACACCCAACTAACGTAAGGCATAATGTTCTGATGTTATAGCCCTGGTGTTATACGTAATACTTAGTGGCTACCAATCTCTACTAGTGTATACAGTATTAGGACATGTTGACTTTATTGTATAGATGACATCCGCACGTGCATGAATTTTCGTCCGTTTCCAAAAAAATGTTTCGACCATATTGTAAATCGTACAAACCAGCTGCAAAATGTGCACGTAAAACGATACTAATGTTGTAGAATGCCAAAATCAATAAAATGTGAAGAAATAAAAATAGTCTATTATTCGCCATACCATTCTCCTATGTGTGTAGTCATTTGTTAACTTTGAATTTTTGTAGCAATTGTACAAGGCATACCTCAGATCTGGCAATTATGAATAATTAATCTAAATACTGTATCACAGTCCAGAGGAGGATTTGCAAATATCCCGACTTGCATTGCGGTAACATAGTCCGACTCACTTTTCTGAACGTTTTAACGACTGTGAACACGTATTGTATTCCGATATTCTACCGCAGAACCACGTTTCTGATTCCTCGTGTAGAAGGAACCACTGGCAGGGAGACACAGAGAACCTGATGTTTGTAGTGGACGGAGACGAGGACCCCTGCTGTATCGACTCGGACAAGCTCATCCAAATTTTCGACATGGGAGTGTCTCCTTATGGTGTGTATTCATTTCAAGTTTGTTTATTTATCTATCTATCCAGGGTAGGCGATTATCAAAGCTCCCTGCACAAAACATACATAATAGTTGGGTCGTGTGGAGTAGCGGGAGAGTGCTCGACTCGGAACCCAGAGTCACGGGTTCGAGCATAGCATACTTTCATTTTTCTTTTTTTTCTCGTGATAGGTGACGAGTATAGCGATGAAGTTCTCAGGACATATCCAAAGGTCGGCTTCCAGAACGCGCCCAAGTTCTGTGAGGATCCTGAAGACGCCATGGGGACCTACAACTTCACCATTCCTATGGATCTAAAGCCTGGTCAGATTCACCATCAATTTTGTGTACAACATTCGTGTGCTTTCTCTGAAAGACGTGTTTTCATTGTATTGCGAAACGAAGCTATCAAACAGGCGTTCAGATAAGGAAATACAAAATGTTTGTCAAAAACTCAATCTAAGATACGTAACGCTAACTCGTACTCGTAGGAGGTCTTGAGCAACTTTTCTGTTCTGTCTCAGGTCGCCACACGTTCGTCTGGAAGTGGATCCGTATTCCTTCCGTCAACCCCTTCACCACGTGTTGGGAGGCTGACGTGTTCGCCACTAAAGCGGAGAGGGACGCGTACTACATAGCCACGGTAAGGGATTTGACATCGTTTACTATCGAACCAACTACTAAGTACCTAATGTCAGCTCAGAAAAGAACAAGAAACAGTCGACGTCATATGCCGTGTACCAGAGTTATCATCCCAGCATTGAGTTGTTATTTAACCTCCTTGCCTAGAACTACTGCAAAGTGGAATCAACTCGCTGCCACCAAGTACAGTAGGGGCATCGTCTGCATTAGATAGCTTTAAGCAATGTTTAGAGTTAGCTGTGCAAAGGCTAGGTGTAACAAGCCGCTTGTGGTCTCGATTATAGTATATCACACGCTTTATTAAAAGTGGAAAACAGTGAAAGATATCGATGTGGGACTTCGAATTCGTTTCAAACAGTTCAATTAATTTTCTGCTCCAAAGATCCACAGACGTACGTACTGTCGTACAGAAGCAATCTGACGAGTGTTAGTATAGAACTTAGAAACCACGATGTTTACACTGCTAGTAAGTTTGTTTTATAGTCAGTATTGTAACATTCTATTTTTAACCCGATGGACATACATGTATTTTCCAGGGCCGGACCACCGAGGACATGTGGGACTTCTATCAAGTCAACAACATCGTGGACGGAGTGATCGTGGATCCTGCCGTGGATCCGATCATCTCTGGCTGATGGTCTCAAACTGACAACCGATTGTCTCAAACTAACAATATGAGAAGTTTGAGTAAAGAAAATCCCACAGAACTTATCTTTGTGATGTTGTCACTTTTCTTTCTATATACATGTATCATAAAAGATCCATTGCAATACCAATACACACCATTCTCCCCAAAACCATAACAACACAAGAGGACATCACATACTAGGTTTTGATACTCTCTTGTAAGACAGAGACATACAGAGGAAGCTTTTCCCCACGAACAGCGGTAGAGTGGAACGCCCTACCAGCTACTCTAATGAGCGCGACATCGTACTGAACAGTTCAAAGCTGGGGTGGCCAAGTACTATCAACGGCTACCTTCGAGTGCCACAGTTAAAACAGATTTGTTGCCGATAACATGTCAGTTATACGTCAGAAGTGGTGCGTTTTTTTTACGTGAGGCAGAAACGTTCTTGTACGAGTCGAAATAGCATGGACGTAACGTTACCGATGAAAATGTTTCTACTTTCTAACGAATGACCAGAGAGGGAGCATGTTATTTTGACCGAAAGGACACAGCCTCGGCGTTAATGGTAGCCTTTGATACTAGTTTTAGCTAGACTATCTCGCTCATTGACGTCAATGATACAGGTACATGTGTATGTACACTACTATATCTGTCTCAGTCATTTTGAGTAAACGTTGACATAACACTGTTTACTGAGCTTATTGATCCCTTCATGAGTTAAACTATTTCTGAACTGTTACTAGTATCATGAAAGGCCTTCATATTATCAGTATTTAACCTTACTGTCTATGGCACGTCAAAGCGACAGGAATATACCATTCTGACAACAACATCATCATGCGGTTTGACGATGTACTGCAATGTAGCTTTTTCGTCTCCTGGGTCATGTCATGCTTGGCTTAAGGTAGTATAATACAGTCTTCTCCTTTGGGGGATTTCTATAGTCTAAAGTTAAGGACCCCAATGTGGACGTGTTGAAAACTAAATTCGTAATTGTAGGGTGCACTCCAGAAATACGATCAACGAATATGTTTCCGTTTAAAGTTCGTCCTACAAACCAAAATATTTTGTCTGCGCATGGTCTTCTGACGCCGTCTTTGAAATGGTCCCCTGCGGACGTCAATTGAACTGCAGCCGACTCATTCAGACAGCCACTTAGCACGGTCCATCCGCGCGTGTGATTTTTCGTGGCGTAGAGGGCTGGGGTATAGGTTAGGGTTTTAGAGCTTCGCTTTTTGACCCGGGTTCAAATCCAAGCTTGTGATTTTTTTTCAAGAATACCTTCACTATTCTTCATGATCCTCCCTCACATTTGTAATTCGAATGTTGCTTTTCATAGCATACATACGTTTTATACGTTTTTGGACCTCGAAAAAAACTCAGTCAGCGATATGGCATCGAAAGGCGACGACCGTTTACGAGACGGAAATTTGCCGCGCCAAACGCAGATTCCGACGGGTACAAAACCGGTCACACTTGCTGCTGGATGGCCAAACCGTTCATTTTGACACTGGCTGCAGATCGAAAATCAGGGTGGGAATTGGGTTAATCAGGAAAAGTCGATTACCTTGCGATGTTAAAGAACTTACTCAACCTAATAGAGGGCACCTGAGCTGGACTTAAAAACAATTTTCTAATCTTAAAACACAATTTTCTGTTCGTACATTTATTCAGTTCCTTCTGTTAAAGACATGTAATGCAATTTTAGGGCGGCAAAACATAAAAATATTGGGGATGAGGAAATCTGTCTGATATTGACGTTTACTGCCATTTCTTAGCACATTTTCCTCAGTATTTCTTACCTGAAGCGTTTGTTGAAATAGACCGAAAAAAGCTACGTGAGGAGTCCCTTTATTTAAGAGGTTCCGCTCATAAATTGCTAGAACTAGCCTACGATACAAAACAAGCAACCGTTTTCCGTTAGCGACATTGTATTTTTGCCTCACAGATATCAGTATTCTATGGGATAGGCTTGATTCAACTTACTACATTAAAAGAATGACCAGAAAATAGACTTAGAAAATCCAGTTTTGCCTCCCTGAAATTGCATTGGATGCCTTAAAATACATACTGATAACGAACACACTAGAAGACGAAAGCTAGGGCTGCCGATATGCTACAGCTAGAAGGAGGTGAGGGAAAGATCAAGGTCTGTTCAGCCCCTATGAAGTGTGACCGTAGAATTCTAGAAACGTCGCACAGTGAACCGAGCAGCTACGGTGAACTCACCTATGATGAGGCACGTATCTAATTATATCACCGTAAAGAAAACTCGGCCGAGCCTTAACCACAGTATACATAATTAGCATAACTTGTGACGGGCACATTGTCGCTTGGACAAGTGTATGACAACAGCCAATCCGTGCGCTTGCCGGCGGCAAAGCAAAGAAACGGGAGTCTTGTTTACGTTCCAGTGCGTACGAATTCCTCGCCTCAGTCAGTCAGCCAAGCAGTCCGCTCCCGCTCTGTAAAGAGAGAGGACACGCTGAAGGGCTAAGAGGGTCTATCTCAAGTTACAGAAGCGCTAAGGTGCACAGGCCAACATGGCGGGGCGCCTTCTTCTGATGTTTGTGGGAATAGTGGTGGCGGCGGCCCCGTTCGTTTCTGGAACTACTCTGAGTGCTTCTGGGTAAGTGTGCGTTTTCATACGTCTTCCTATGATACGGGTAATACTACTTTTCACGAAGGAGTTTGATAAAAGGCAACGGCGTGTTCTGTACTGAAGACATGCAATTGTTGAATCGTTTCGGGCACAACAGAAAAAGGGCACCCGTTCGCAGCAACTTGTTCTGATAGAAATCTTGATGAACAGAGCAAAATCTTTAAGTACCTACAAGTGGTCTAAGTAAAACATGGGTACAGTGCCACAAATAACAAAAACAAACACTAATTAGATAAGACGTTTGGGAACATAACTTCTTAAAGACACGAAGTTGTTTGTGTCGCGCAGAGTACATGTAAAGTGGTGTGCGAAGTACGTGACAAGCGCAACAGCAACAAGACACGGGTGTCTACTATTGTAGACAGCAAACCCTTGCGTTAGCACTAAATCATGTAAATGCTTCGCTAAGCTATCTTAGCGGTAACAGGTTGAACACAGAACAAAGTGGATCAGGAAAAAATTGCAGGAACGGAAACCACGTTATACAGACTGGTATACGGGACTTAGTACTAGTCTGTAAAGTTTTAGTGCTAACTGCTAAGGCTCAAAGCATTGTCACACCAAAAATGTGTTTCAGAACAAACACGCTGCTGTAGCTACTTGTCCTTGTAGATCAATAATCTACTGTGACATTGAAGTGAAACGCGTCTTCCAATAGTCGTTTAACTTATCTTAAGCCGTTGCAAATGGACTATCTGCATTTAAAGGGATTCCTTTACATATATATTCCAACATGTAATCACACGACGTGATGACGGCACAATCAAGTTTTTTCAACTTATATTAATGCCGCCACCAACACAGGGGACAATACAATACTCATTTTCACCTGAGTTAAGTGAGGAAAGTCGTGTTAAGTGCCTTTCCTAAGGGCAAAAGATCGGTGGCATGTCAGGACTCGAACCCGGGACCTCTTGGTTCCAAGGTGAGCACACAAGGAATTCCTTGCCGACAGGAATGGAAAAATTATCCCCCTTTCTGTCTCTTTCTATCAATTCGTGTTGGTACAAGGTTGGAAATTAGTCAGGAGAGAGAGAGGGAGAGAGAGGGAGAGGGAGAGGGGGAGAGAGAGAGAGAGAGAAGAGAGTCGGATGCCTGAAGCTAGCGCTAAAGAGCTGATTGTTGGGACATGGTCGTCGCAAAGAATAGGCAGGGCTACGTGTAAAACTGGTAAGGCTGTTGTCACTGATTGTTGGGACATGGTCGTCGCAAAGAATAGGCAGGGCTACGTGTAAAACTGGTAAGGCTGTTGTCAATGCTCCCTACCTACCGCCAACCTTGGTTGCTTGGCTAGTTAGTGGGCGTGGGCAGGGTCGGGGGAAAGTTCTGCATGTGTGACCAAACCTGGGTTATCATAGTCTCTACCAGACTAACTTCGCTGGCTATATATAAGAGAATATTTACCAGGGGAGTTTTGGGAGGGAAAGAACCAATCTTCCTCGGCCTGACTCCCCTGGCCAATTTTACTCTCCTTTTTGCCGAATGCTACGATCCGTTTTCCCGTTGAAAGGCCTGGTGTAGGCTAAGGTACTCATGTCCACCTGAGTGAAGTGAGGAGAGTCGTATTAAAAGTGCAGAGCAGACGCGAGCAAAAAAACAGGCGTTCTGAAGACCGGTACGGCACCTGTATACCAAGGAGTAACACACTTGACTTGTCAGGACACTTCCTTGTCCTATGTCTTGGGGTTTATATTCTCGGTTGAACATTGTTCAGGGAATTTGTAAGTTGATCTGAACCCTGGGTTTATTAAAAAGAGACTCCGTTTGGCTGGATTAGGCTCATGCACAACATTTCGTGCCGATTCTGCACATTGTTGGGGGTGTTATACGTTGGCGTCGAAAAATGTAGGCTTGGCCATTTCCAAACCGCAAGTTTTGTTGGCTAAGCTTTTACCGCCTAACAGGTGTGTCATGATTTATACTCAAGGCGTGCTCAACAGAGGAAAGATCCTTCGCTTCAAAAGGCTACTAGATTATCTTATAGCAGGATATGCGACTTTTCTGACGTTGCAAACAATCTAACGACTCGGACTCGCCCAGTACTTCTAGGAAGGGAGGAAGTTGCGGTGTTGAAGTGTAAGCACTGTCATGATGTTATCATTGTGGAAATGTTTACACTGACTTCTACACAGTACATATAATTATGTTTTTATTTGCAAACTCGTGCCCGATGGCATATAAACGACGTCATTGGAAAAAGGGTCTTCTGTATCCAAAGCCGTGCCTAACGTTCTATGCTTGGATTAGGGTATTCCATGGGCTCCCTTGGAAATCAGCCTCAACGGCTGAAGGGACCATGCCCATTTGTCCCTAAGATGAATAACTTAAATAAATAAAAAGGGCTAGGATCAGGCACGGTTTTGGATTGTCTCTGCGTGTCCAAGGATGCATAGATTTGCCCCTGGCACGCTTCTGGAT